GTTGTAATATTATTAATATATAATATACTTAAATAATATTAGTATATATAATATTAAATAATTATTATATCATTATAATACTATATTAATTTATTTATACAGGACTATAATTATTGTGAGATTACTGTAATTACTGTTAAAAATAAATGCATATAAAATATGCAGTACTATAATTACTGTATATTTTATAATTATTTTCTTTTTAAAAACAAATATTGTCTTCTATGTTTATAAGTGAGAAGCTGCCAGTGTTTATTTATTAAAGAAAAGCTTACTGGAGAATGGGTTTGATACAAGCAGGCTGGCAGGAAGGAAGGCCTCGTCCTTACAGGAACGGATCTGAGTGCCCACCAGCTCCGAACCCGTGGCCAAGATACGGGCGTTCTCCTCATTTAGGTTCACACCAGCCATGGATGCCACGTCATTAATGTCATCATCATCCCTGCAGACACAAACAAGAAGAATTTCACCATGCATGAAACAGGTATATTATGATGGATATATATATATATATATATATATATATACAGGACTATAATTATTGTGAGATTACTGTAATTACTGTTAAAAATAAATGCATATAAAATATGCAGTACTATAATTACTGTATATTTTATAATTATTTTCTTTTTAAAAACAAATATTGTCTTCTATGTTTATAAGTGAGAAGCTGCCAGTGTTTATTTATTAAAGAAAAGCTTACTGGAGAATGGGTTTGATACAAAACCTATTTTATATCTTTTAAAAGTGATTTTTTCCCCCCAGTTTTTTCAAAAAATTACTATTAATAAATAGTCATGGACATGACTTCATTCCATCACACCCATTCTCACATTCTGTCATGCCCCGAATGCCATGAAACAACTAACAATTCTAGAGAAACGCTGCCTCCTACTGGACTCTTAGAAAACCAACCTGAAAGTCCCACCCCCAGGGTCATTCAGCTTCTGTTTCTGATTGGCTGACGCTTGAACAGCCACACCCATGGGGCTCCTCACTTGCAAGGGTGTCCCAACAGCACCTGCAATAAAACTTGTAATTATACTGGGGAAGGGCCATTGGACTCTTGCATGAGAAAAGGAACACTTAAGCCTCAATAACTTTCCTTTAGTGGGTTTAAAATGGACACTAAGCTCATTAAGTCTCTCAATAGCTTACCTTGAGCACGAACCGTCTGTGTAATCACCACCGGCATCCGTGTCGGAGTAGCCTGAACCCCAGGCCTCTTAACAGCCCGAGGAGAACAAAACCACAGAGGATATGAAAATTCAAACTTATTTTTTGCTACTGAAGTTTGAATTAGAGACACTAATGTGTCTAACTGAGCCTAAAATCATAAAATGAATCTAATAACATGAACTTGAGTAAACAAGGGCCAAATAAGCAGATGCATTAAAATAATTCCAATTTTCATAATCATTTCAGGGGCAGAACACTGTACATACATTATGAATATTCAAACATAATATATTGACCAAGCCTACAATAGACCATAGGAAAGCAGGAGTACCATGGTGGTAGTGGGAGCCAGGGCAGCAGCCGGTCGGATGGTAGATACGGTGGTGGGCAGTGTGCTCGGCGCTGGAGCTTTAATGGTGTTCACCGTCAGTGGGGTGGATGTAGTAGAGGTCTGAGACAGCTGAGTTAAAGACTGCTGGGAGTTCAGAAGAGTCAGACGCAGAGCAGGCAGACTTTTCTGTACAAAGAGAAGGGGAAACAGATTTCAGGTTTCAAAAACACAAAAGAACAAATTTCGTGCCTTGAAAGGATAGCCCACCCAAAAATGTAAATTCTGCCATCATTTAGTCACCCTCATGCTGTCCAAATCTGTATTATTTTATGTCTTCTGCTGAACACAAAAGTAGATATTTTGAAGAATGTTGATAACCAAACAGTTTCGGTCTCCATTGTCTTTCATTGTATTTTTTGTCCATACAATGGAAGTCAATGGGAATTGAAGCAATTAACTAACATTTTTAAAAATATCTTCTTTTGTGTTCCACAAAAACACAAAGTCATACAGTTTTGGAATGACATGAGGGTGAATAACAGAATTTTAATTTTTTGAAACTCTCTCTTTAAGCTTCTGTAATTAAGAACAATAAGCACAACTGCTTTTTTGAGTCCTACCTTCAAAAAAGGGATCAGGTACGGTTGAGGAGATGATTTCAACTCCGTCTGCAGGCGATTTGTAAACTCCTCAGGCTCGATTTTTGCATCCTTTGCAGATTTTAGAAGGAAAAATACACATAAGTTATCTCAACTAAAATTACACATGCTTCATGTAAAGATTATTTCATGTTCTTTTTAATTCTATTCTTTAAAAAAACAAACTTGCCCTTTTTGACTTGCACTCTATTCATTTACTAACTGCTTGTTTTCTTTTAAAAAACTAACAATAGCTTCTCTATTCTTTTTGTATTCTATCTGTTTTCTTTTTATTTATTATACAATTAACAAAAAGCACCAAAAAAAAGCCTCTAACACTAGCTTGCTCTATTCTATTTGTTTTCTTTTTATTATATAATTAAAAAATTATTATATAATAGGGTAACTGACAATGCTCTTTTGTTGATTTTGATTGCTTCCATTGTCCTCATTTGTTAGTCGCTTTGGATAAAAGCGTCTGCTAAATGACTAAATGTAAATGTAATTTAAGTACTAGAATTTTCAATAACCAGCTCAAGTTTAAAGAAAACAATTGAGGGCTCTGAAATAAAACATAAATATTCATGACTGTATGATGTATTAAACATTGTTGTGACTTTGGCAGATGTAAAAATCAACATAAAGTTACAGAGCTGGAGGTTTTTCAATAATTAATTTATACTTTATTTCCTACAAATAATTTGCTACAAAGCTATGAAGTCACACTTAACACATTAGAAAGTAGGTGTGAATTCCTATCTTTATAGCAAATTATTTGAAGAAATCTTTTGTAATAAAAAACAAAGTTGATTAAAAGATAAAAAATATATCTAAAAAGCCAGTAAAAATACTGGCAGGACAAATAAAAACTCAATTATGCCAAATTTGCACAGTAAAGGTGGCACAGAAGCGCTTCTGCAGTGGCATATAATGCTGCTCAGAGGTGGCATAAATGCATGCACACACCAATTACAACTGTATACTTTGAAAGGCAATTTAGTTTGATAGGCAATTTACTTATTTTGAACAGGCAAAAATGTGTGTGTGTTTTTTTGTTTTGTTTTTTGAGTCCTGCAGTTGCTCACAGTTTAGCATGAGAAAGGCAATTTAGTTTGATAGGCAATTTACTTATTTTGAACAGGCAAAAATGTGTGTGTGTTTTTTTGTTTTGTTTTTTGAGTCCTGCAGTTGCTCACAGTTTAGCATGAGAATTTAGCACAGTTTAGCATGAGAATACCACTAGAGAAAATACTATCATTTTAACTGTCACAATGAACTACTACATCAAATCTTTTATTAACAATGAAGCAATACTGAAGTGTCTCAATCATAACATTGCTGCTAGTGATGCAGATATAAAACACTAAACAGCTCAAACTTACCAGCAGATCCTGCACTAGTGCCTTCACATTCCGAGATGTTTCCGGCAAGGGGGAATTATGGGATGCCAGTTTGATGAGTGTTGCTAGGAAGTTCTTGCACTTCTTTACATTCTCTTGCATTTCCTAAATGAAAAATTACAGTATTTTACAACAGATAATGAATTAGAATCCATGTCCAGCAATAGTCATTGACATTATGAACGAACACAGTGTAGCACTACCTGAGAGAGGACAGGGGCTCTGTTAGCTGGGGCAGCAGCAGAGGTGGTGATGGGACTCTGAGGGGTCACAGAGGGCTTGAGAACTGTCTGTGGCGCAGGCTGCACACGGGCCCCTGCTGTAATGACTGTGGTGGTGGGCTTCTGAGCCGAGGTAATCGTTACCACTGCGGTCTTCTGCTACAAAAATAAAAGCCAAGTCAAGTTAAGAACCGTTTCAAGTGTTTTGTGCACCACGACAAAAAGAAATGTTTTGCCCAAGCTTTCAGCTTGAAATAATACAATAAACAACACATTTAAGAAACAGTTCACCCAAAAATGAATTTTACATCATTCCAAACCCATATGTTGTCATTTTTTTAAGTAGAACAGACAAAACAATAATTTATCAAGAATCTTCACATAGACCAAATCTGAAGATTGATTTGATTGTCTTGTGTGATTAACAGAAGCAAATCAAATAAGATATTTGGTTACCAGCCAATCGAGAAATAATGACGTTTGTTGTTACTGTCATGCAACCTGCACATTTGATTTGACAGTAAAATCAGGATGAGATTGTCTGCAGATAAACCACACAAAGCTTTCATATGGTTTTAAGAACATTTCAAAAGTCATATGAACTACATTGAAGGATTGATTTAGAACACAAGAGAACCACTTCATTTCATTTGTGGAATACAAAAGCAGCTGTTACGCAGCGAGACAGTCTCAATCACCATTCAATTTCACTGCGTGGAAAAAAGATGCACTGAAAGTGTCAACAGAGATGGCCTTCCTTTATATAACTATTATTTACTGCTAAAACAGAGTATTATCATGCAACAAGAGTTTTAAATGCTTTCAGATGACCTGTCTTGCTCATACCTGGGCAACAGGTGTGGTGACTCTGAAAGCTGTTCCAGCAGTGGGTGTAGCAGGTCTCGGTGACAGGGTGCCTTTATTTTGGTTCTGAGCTTTGGCCTGGGCCAGGACCTGCTGAGGAACCAATGCCAGCTGACCGGCCTCCGTGCGTACCAGCACCATACCTCAAGAAGAACACAGGAAAAATTCATAAACACATCATAGCTGGGGAAAGTAGTAACAATACTACACTCATGTTGTTCCAAACCTGTATGGCTTACTTTTTTTATCCACACAATGAAGGTCAATGGGGTCCAATGTTGTTTTGTTTTGGACCCCATTTACTTTCATTATATGCACAAAAATATTCCTCAAAAATGTCTTCTTTATGTTCGGAAGAAGAAATAAAGTCATTCAGGTTCAGAACAACATTCAGGTTTGTAAATAAAGACAGAATTTCCATTTTTGGGTGAACTGACCCATTAAACACCCTCTTTTTGGCATCTGGTCTCCTTATCGCTTCCTAAGCTTTTACCTGGAGGTATGGTGAATCCCGGCGGTAACTGAATGGTAGTTTGTTGCTGCGGTCTGACGATCAGCTGGGTCATAGGAGGCCCTGGACGCTGCGGGGGCGTCGTGGTCGCCATCCCCTGAACGGGCGCACCGGGTCTCAACAGGGTCGTAGGCTGTCCTACGAGAGCAGTCGTTGCTGGCTTTGCAAGGGCAGAGGGCGTGCTTGCCACAGGAAGTGAGGTCACCACCGGGCTGGACGACACTATAATCTGAGCGGGCGTGCTGGGGTGCAACCCTACGGGGGTCCCGGGGAGCTGGTTCGGGACGATGGCTTTAATCTGTTTTTGAGGGTCAGATTTGGGCTCTGTGTTTGTGAACGGCACAAGACCGGCGCCCTGCACGGGCAATCCTGAGACTTTGGGGTCACCTCCGTTGTGTACCACACTTGTGATGGTGTTAGGAGGCCTGTGCAGTGCAATGGTGGGGTTTGCTTGACTATCTAGTGACACATTCGCATGTGGCAGTGTGCTGTTGGGCTGAGCGGACACAAAAGCAGTATTTGTACTAGCAGGAGCAGACATGTTGCTTTTACCATTACCTACACCTGAACCAATGTCAATACCGTTTACAGAAGCAGGAGCAGAAGCGATAACAGAAGAGTTTAACGTGCCACTGCTTCCGTTCACAGTCTGTATTCTGGCGGGAACCGACCGGACAGCAGACGCAATGTGATTTGTTTTGGGCTGAGAGTCTGTTGGTGCTGCGTCACTTGAACAAGTTGATGGATTTGATGAATGATATTGCACCCGGTTCGCGGCTGTAACCGAATTTGCAGAGGTGCTAGGCAGGTTCGCGGTGGACGGTACAGCACCGGACGCCGGTATCCTGTCCGGGCCGTTTTCTTGAGAGTTTCCCTCCTGGTTTCGCTCTGGCTGCCGCTGCTGCTCCAGTGTTGTTCCTACTTGGGCGGGCAGCAATTTCCCCAAGTGTGGATTTAGCGCGTTTGAGGGTCTCCTGATGTCGCCTTGAGGACCGACCGCCTTGTTTTGTCCACCCAACTGCGATTCCAACGAGCCTACGAGGTCACTGACGGCTTTTTCGTCCACTTCGGAGTAGAGCATATCTTCCAGTGGATCGGGGACGCCCGCCATCTTTGAGAGACGCTTGAGAAACGCGCACGGCGCGTGCGTTGTTTTGCTGCTGAGGCATTGTGGGAAACGTAATGACATCATGGGCAAAATTTGCAGCTGTTGTCATAGGCCTGTCAAATTTGGAAACTACCATATAAATATTTAATATGATTTGATAAAAAATACATAAAATTTTAATAATTAAAATATAATTTAATAAGTAAGTAAATATGTATTGAAATGAAAAATAAAATATATTTAAATGTTACAATTTGGGGATAATATTTGTAATATTTAAATAATGTGATATTTGTAATATTTAAATATTACAAATAAAATCAAATTCTGTTAAACTAATTTATAAATATCTTCAATTGTTATATTGATAGATGCAGAAACAGTTTTATCGTTTCATACCTTTTTGGAGTTGTACTCATTCGGCTTGTTTTTGGTCAGATTTCTGTTGTGTTTTATTAATGATCACATCATGCTCATCTTTTAAAATTTTATTGTCATGTTTTCAATTATGCCATGTCTTATCATCAAGAATATTATTTAAATAATATGCTACTTCTAATAGCTAAAGTTAGCATACATAAATGTAAATATGGAGGAAATAAGCTTGTTTTTAAAGGCAGAAGTTCAACAATATCTAAAAACAATATTATGAAAAATAAGAAAGCTGTATATGTGTTTTCCCGTTTTTAACATTTACATTTACATTTTTTTTTTAACATTGTTTATCCTAATCCTAATCTTGGCTGTATTTATATATCTTTAAACAACAAACAAACAAAAAGAAAGCATAAGCCTGATTCTTGGCCTTCCCTACTTTTTAACTGAAATGGACTCACTTGTTACAGTAAATGTTTTTGTTATACAAAACTAAGAAAATATTTTTTTCTTTCCTTTATTTCTTCTTGTTTATATAATAGGAACTTGTATATATAATACATACTGTTTATACTGTTTTTATAGGTAAAACAGTATCTGCTAAAAGCCTGTCATGGACATTTGTTGATTTGTGGAACAAGGCTTAGAGAATTTGTGGCAAATATTGATGAAATAATAATAAGTAATATCACCGTGGTATACAGATATCCAGTTAAAAGTAGATATTGAATATTCATGTGATTTGTGTTTATTAGTAAAATAAGGTATTGTCTTTATTTTTACCATTGTGTAGCCTATACATAATTTTGGGGGTCGATATGGAGGTTTATGCCTTTTAATATCTTAAAATTACGGATATTTAAACTGTTTATGGTGGCCATAACGAAAAGCGACAGATTTGTCTTGACCCTGTGTACATAATATCAGAAATTAGAGTTTAGTTTGGAAAGCTTTGATTAGCTAATAGCTATGTAATATGACTCTCTAAACAGATTAGACTCTGAACAAATTTATATAATAAAATATAGGTAGAAGGTATTTTTTTGTTGTTTTTTTTTTGTTTTTTTTTGTTTTTGTTTTTGTTTTGAGAATTAGCATTTCCCTTGATATCAGCGCCTCACACTCCATCCCAGTAGGTGGCGGAATATGCACCAAAAGCTGGTTTGCCAACCGCCATTAAACATCATAAGAAGAAGAAGAAGAAGATTAGACTCTGCGTAAATACAACGCAACAGTGAGTTTTCTGGTGTCTGGGTCGTGTGTAGATCACGTGGTACAGAGCTGGACCAATAGAATTGCGAGTCGTGTTGTACGGCCCAAATATTAAAAACGCCAATATCAGTTTTGGTCATTTTTAATGGTGCTGTCAACCAGAGTGAGTACAAGCGCTAAAATATGGTGTCTTATTACTATTTGTTTAAAATAATGTGGCATGTTTTAATAATGCGAATATGTCTAAAGATCTTTTGTTGATAATGCGATAGAGTTATCATGTTAGACATGTTAGCAAGCGGGCTAATCGAGTTCATCAGTCTTATGAAAGTTGGTTTCGAAAGGCGTATTGCTGGGGGTTTTATAATGTCTCATTCTTAATAAATGAAACAATATAAAGAAAATACATTACATTGTCAAAGAAATCGCAAACATGTACAGAATATTGTACATACATTGGCAAACGCAATATACTAAACAATATTACCATAAAAATATCAAGTATGTTCTATTTAATGCAATGTTATTAAATAAATAAATAGTTAAACAAAATACATTTTAATTTTTTATCATTTTTAATATTTTATTTTATTATAATGTTGTTTAAAACAGCAAAGGGGGCGTGGTGCATCATGAATTTGCATTTGTTTATTTTTTCTGAAATATATACAGATTTATTCTATTATTTTACAATAATTATTATTAAGAGGTGTGGATCTTATCTATGAATTAGTTTGGTGTTTAGACAAGTTTAACTCACAAAATCCTGCTCTCTCTTCTGTCCTCTTAGCAAACAGCCAGAAGCATGGCCATGGCACAGTCAACACTGATGTTCGCAATGTGCATTTTGATGATAACAGAACTCATACTGGCCAGAAAGGACTACTATGACATCCTCGGTGTGCCAAAAGATGCTTCGGATCGTCAGATCAAAAAAGCTTTTCACAAGCTTGCCATGAAATATCACCCCGACAAGAACAAGAGCCCCGATGCAGAAACCAAATTTCGAGAGATTGCAGAAGGTGGGTTATATACACTACCTGTCAAAAGTTTGTAGTAATTAAAATTTGTTCATGTTTTTGTAAGATGTCACTAATGCTCACCATGGCTGCATTTATTTGATAAAAAGCTGATATTATTACAATGTAAAATAATTATTTTATTATATAATTATTATATATAAAAATTTAATTTTTTCCTGAATTTTCAACATCATTACTCCAGTCTTTAGTGTCACATTATTCTTCAGAAATCATTCAGATATGTTGGTTTGGTGTTCAGTTATTATCCGTTATTGTTGATGCTCAAGTCTAAATAATAGTTGTTATTATTATCAATGTTGAGAACCGTTTTTCTGCTTAATATTTTTGTGAAAACCATGCTAATTTTTTCAGGATTCTTTGATGAATAGAAAGTTAAAAAGAACAGCACTTAGATAGAAATGCATTATAAATGTCTTTGCCATGACAGGAATAAATTACACTTTAAAATATATTAAAATAGAGAACAATTATTTAAAATTGTAATATGTAAGTAACTTTAATTTTTAAAGCAAAAATTCCTTAAATTGTTAATTCTGTTATGCATACATTTTTAACTCGTTCTACAGCATACGAAACACTATCAGATGAGAAAAGAAGGCTGGAGTATGACCAATCAGGATACAATACATTCAGCAATGAAGACGTGAACGGAGGAGGAGAGCAGCGTTTTCATCATTCCTTTGATTTTAACTTCGACGACATGTTCAGAAACTTTGACATCTATAGCCAAAACAGGCAAGCTCGTTCAAAAAGGCACTTTGACGAGCACTTCAGGGCCCACCAGCAAGCACTCAACCGCCATAAGAGACACTCCCAGGGTACTTTTGGTGCCGGAGTCTTTGAGGACATGTTTGAAGACATGGAGAAGATGTTTACATTTGACCGACACATAAAAAAGACAGAGAGCAGGTTTCAGGGCACAGCCAAACAGCACTGCAGAACGGTGACCCAGCGAAGAGGAAACATGGTCACCACGTACACGGATTGCACCTCATCCTCCTGAACATCAGAGTGGGCCATAGATCGGACCATCACACTTTTATTTTATGCCTGATTTAGATGGAGTTATTAATTTGCTGCTGTGATAAGTGGGGTTTGATTTTACATGTGACTGATCTGTTATTTATGATGATAATGGGTGTGTTTGGAGTTTTTATTGGTTTGATTGAGATTTACAATTGACACTATGTTGGATAGTGGCCTCTTAAAGGAATAGTACACCCCAAAATGAAAATTAGCTGAAAATGTACTCACCCCCAGTACATCTAAGATGTAGATGAGTTTGTTTCTTCATCAGAACAGATTTGGAGAAATTTAGCATTAGATCACTGGCTCACCAGTGGATCCTCTGCAGTGAATGGGTGCCGTCAGAATGAGAGTCCAAACATCTGATAAAAACATCACAATAATCCACACAACTCCAGTCCATCAATTAATGTCTTGTGAAGCGAAAAGCTACGTGTTTGTCAGAAACAAATCCGTCATTAAGGTGTTGTACCTTTCAACCACCGCTTCTGGCCAAAATATGAGTAAATAGTCCATAATAACGCTTCATCCAGTGAAAAAGCCCATATGCCCTGTTGACCTCTCAAATCATTTTTGTTTAGAACTGTATTGGACTGTTTTCTCTTGTAAACAGTGCTTGATCAGTGCATATTTCTCTCCTGATTCAGACAAGATGACTTTTTCACTGGAGAAAGCAATATTATAAACGGAGGACTCGTATTTTAGCTGGAAGCAACAGTTTGAAGTTCAAAAACGTCTTATTGATGGATTTGCTTCTTACAAATATGCAGCTTTTCACTTCACAAGACATTAATTGTTGGACTGGAGTTGTGCTTTTCAGCTTTCATTCTGACGGCACCCATTCACTGCAGAAATATGTATTTTCAGCATATTTTCATTTTTGAGTGAACCGTTCCTTTAATAGCCTGAGAGTCTAGTTTTAGGCGTTTTATGAGTTTGCTTTCATCCCTGCGGCACTAAATAAAAAAAAATGAAATGGTCATTAATTTGTTAATAATAACAAACTACATTTGATGACCCTCTAATATTAGTGTGCATTTGTTTAAATTGCACTTTCTTGATCGTATGAAACAAGTTGTTATACGCACAAAAAATAAATTCATGCCTAGTTGGCAACTAAAATCCCCTACTATACTGAAAGAACAAATGTGCTGAAATCCTGAATCATAATTTGATGAAAGCATCAGACAGATCATTTAGCTCTTCCGTTATCTTCTCTTCTTATCCAAGGTTGTATAATTTGTGTTGGTGTTGAACGCTCATGGTATGGATCTTTGAGATTCACATCTTCATGAACTGGTCTCTTATTTTTATGTGAAGCTTAACAAATGTTAATAATATAGTTCATTATATTGAAGTAGTTTCTTTCAAACTCAGACTTGTTAGATAGAGAGGTGCCTTTCCCACTCATTGTGGTAGACTGAGTTTAATGTAATGAGGTTGGAGCACTTTTATGACCTCATGTGTATTATAGTTTGCATGGCTGAGAGAAAGTAGGTCTCAGTTTTTGTCGTGGACATCGGTCACCCGGTTGGGTTTGTAAACGGCTTTTGTTTTAGGAAAGTACAACAAGTCTGACATTGTTCTCTGAAAGTGTATTTTGGCTGAACATTGAGTATGTTTGTAACAAAACATACGAGTTGAGATTGTTTTTATTCGGCAGCATTACCCCTAAAATAAAAAAAGCAAGGGGAATGTACCAATTTAGCATTTGCCTGACAATGTTTTTTTCTTTTTGTAAGTACGATGTATAACTCAGCTGTGTGACTTCACCTGTGACCTGTTTTGTTGAATAATCCTGTGCAATATTTAAAGGCAGTTCTCATGTCGTTTTAACTGTTACCCGCTGACATAGTTATGAAATCAGTCTCGGTAGACTCATCTGGCACTTTCTTTATTGTAATCCTATGGATGAAAAATAAATCTGAAACGGACAATTTGAACCCAGATGTATGTATACTTGGGTTAACAATAAATAGTGTTGAAAATTATGTGTTTGATGGACTTTTTAGGATTTTCATATAACACAAATATTTATTGATATGGGTCGGGAGCATTTTTAGTACCCTCAGTAAACTTGAATTGACATAACATTTTGATTGTAAAATACATGTTTATAAAATACATGTTTTGTGTGTACAAATGTTAAATTAAAAGGCTCTTATCTAACTACATATATATATATATACTGTATATATATTTAAATCTTTTTATTTAAATGTTAATCGACTTAAAGTTAGTAAAAACATTTATCTTTATCTTGATGTAAGTTATAGTTGTTCAGATAACCATATTAATAACACAACGTGTCTACATGTGTCATAATTTATGTAATATTGCCACTTTAGCTATGTTCAGCGCTACCTCACCCACAACATGTTTTCCTAAAGCTCCAAAATATTTTTGTTGCACCCCATAGTTACGGTTGCCTTGGCGCATTCACTCAGAACAATGCTTGGAAATGTAGTTTATTTCCAGAAAATTCAAAAGTGGGTCAACAGCTGTTGTCTCGTCTAAAACTACAAGTCCCATAATGCACCGGGGCTCAGTTTTTTCCGCGGCCGGGTTGGTTGGTTCATGGTGCCACTGTGAGGGACATTGGATGACTTTGTGCCGTGTTTAGCCGGGGTATTCGCCTTAGCTCATTCATTTTGACAGGGGAAGAGATCGTCAACGCGATGGAGGCTCTTATTCCTGTCATTAACAAACTCCAGGATGTTTTTAACACAGTCGGGGCGGATGTTATCCAGCTGCCTCAGATTGCAGTGGTGGGAACGCAGGTAATGTTTTAGTTGCGGTTTCCATTCAGATTGAAACAGGTCTGTGGCAGTGTCTCGAAACCTAGTGAGGTACCTACGTAGACAGCATGTTTGGGCGCCAAAGTTCGGAATGGTATCTAAAGTTCGAGTGCGCCTGTGAAGCCCCCTAGCTAGGCAGTTCACTTGTTTTGAAACACAGCCTAGTATTAGCTACATTTATTTATTTATTGTTGCGACATTTTTTATATAATGTTACACATGGCAAGGTCAACGACAAATAAACGAATGTTGCATTAAATGTACCGGAAATTAAGACTACAATCAAAATCTGCAGCGAGCTTTAAAATAATGTTATCAGCGCTGTCCAGCTAACTAGCGTGCTAACGCAAGTCTTCGCTTGTTTCCTGATTCCTATTTGAATAATTGACTTCACAGGCATATTATGTGAAAATTCCTACTATTAGGTTAGGAATGTGTTTATGTTTTAACAGTATCAGCAATATCACAAAGTGAGTTTTAGGGTTGTATTGATCTGAGTACAGTAGCTAACACATGAAGAGATGCGCCATAGTCGGTCTGAACTTGACAGTTCTGGCAGCATGTTTGGACTGGACAGCTGCAGTACTCGCTGTACATGAAGGGCAAAATGGATAGAGCAGAACTAAGGTAAAAAAGATTGTGGATCTTTTCCATTCTGATATTACACAAGATATCTGCATCATTTCGTTATGGAAGTATTGCATACTTAATAGTATTGTGATAGACCTTTAATGGATGACTCATGAAGAAGAAGAGTTTCTTAAGGTATAATAAGTTTAACGAGTCTTAAAGCAAGGACTTTCATTGACCGCTTAAGAGGATATGGCTGTCTGTGTGCCCAAGAAAGTGTCTTAACCCTGTAAAGTCTGACATATGAAATAAAAATAAAGTTTGCATGTGTATTTCATTTTTTGTATAATATCGGCTTTTATGGCTCATATAGTGGTAATATGAAGCTCACATTTGAGGAGGAAAAAAAACTTCAATTTTATCCAGAGGCCCAAACTGAGCAAATATTCAATTTAATGCTGATCTTATTATTTATATAGCTAAAAAATAGTGATGAGATTGAAATGAGATTATTTAAAACCGTATAACAGACTATTAAAATGCATAACAATATCAGTTGTCACACGTTTTCTCCCAATAATATGTCTTAGTAAGATGATATTTAAATGCTTGGTTTAATAATTAAAGCTGTAGTTTTTATTGTGGGGGCAAAACATAATGCAATGCAATACAACGATGATTAAGGGATGAAAAGATAAATGTTTCGAAACTTACCAGCAGGTGTGTTGAGGCAAGTTGGAGCTAAACTCTGCAGGACACCGGCCCTCCAGGACCGAGTTTGGGCACCCCTGATCTAGTTCATAAGAATCCATAGATTAAGCTTTTAGCATGGGCGTCTCTGCTTTTGTGTGGTTTTGGCTACTCTAGAGTCCTATAAAGACTGCATTGCTGCAGGCTAACCCTCTGTCATCTCTCTTTAAACACAGACCCCAATGTGTGGAACAATGGGCGCCTTTACAAAGGTCTCCTTTTCCTTGCTCCTTGCCCTTTTGCTTGTGTTGAGCAGCTTTGTGCTTTTCCTCATCCTGCTTCCATTATTTGATTATAAGCTTTGGTTACGCTGCCAATGCAATGGCTTAGCTTAAACAACCCAAGACTGAAGAATTTAGTGTACAATCCAGTTTCAGTTTCAGATTTGAAGTGGTGAGTATGAGCGATTTGGGACTCTGAATGTCTGTTTACTTACTAATAACTCTCTAACAGTCATCAATTGTTATTTAAATGTCACCATGTAGTGAAGATTCAAAGTCTTTATTAGGACAGTGTGTGTGTATGAATAAGCTAGTTATGCTGTGCTACCCACAATGCACTGCGCTTGGCCTTTGTTTTGTAGCAGTTTTTGTTTAATTTGCTGTACTGGTGCTTTTGAAAAATGTTGTTGTGGAACAAAAGCCTATCCTACTTAGCAGAGTAAACTCTCCGAAGAAAGTAAAAGTTATGTGACCTAGTATTGTGTCACTGATAATGTCATTGTCAATGTTGTTTCCCACAGGAGTGGATGGAGAAGAGTGGGGGAAATTTCTACACACCAAAAACAAGGTATGGAAAGCAGTACAACAGATATTCAGACAAAGAATTCACAGTCAGCTTCATAACAAACATGTGTGACCCTTTGAATTTTTTTAGGCGTCCATTATGAACAATCAATTGCATGGATAGTTTATATTTATAAACATTTTTTCTCATGAAAAATTTCCACCTAAATCACATACACTCATGAATTTGTTCTTAAGGTTGTTCTAAGGTTAATGAATTGGGAGTATTCCAATTCCATATAAGGGAATTTCACACAAACCTGTCACTCTTGGCAAAAACTGATTACTGGTGCTTTTATTAGCCAGCTGTACAGTACATTTAAGATTAAGATAATGTTCTTTTTAGCAACATCATATGACCCCTTTAAGTAAAATTTAACATGTTTATAAGGCCAATAAGTATTTTGTGTTCAAATGGTTTCAGTTGTTACTTCTTGATAAATTTCGTATTAAGTACCAATTTTAGTACCAAATTTTAGTAAGTTATTGATGATTCATGATTTAAAATTAAGTGTGTTTAAGATTGAATATTTAAGATTAAGTATCTGTATAACTGTGTGTGTGTGTGTGTATATATATAATTTAATCATAACATGTTTGTAAGACCTCCAAGAGCATGTGATATTTTTGTGTACATTTGGTTTTTGTTGTTCCTGTTTTTTGGTAATTTTGACATATTTTACAAAAGTTATTGATGAATTATCATGAAAATGTTAGATGCAAATATCACAAAGAAATTTGTGTATGCATAGTTAATGAATGAGACCCAGTGTCTCAAGATGAGTTTAAAATGGGATCATCCAAATCTCTATATAGCTTACCTCACATTTGAGTAAAGGTGGAAAAATTCCTTACATCAAAGAGACACTGCATAGTGTTGTTTTATTAAGTCATTCTGGCTGTCAGACACATTTATGTGCTACAAACAACAGTGCAGTGAGTTTGTTTGGTTTTATAGTTTGATGATGAACAGATGAAGAAGAACAAGCCCTTTAATTCCTATTGGTCTAAATGATCACAGGAGATATTTTCAGTGTGGTCTTGAGTCCAGATACATGCTTTGTGTTCACTTCATGTAAAATTAATGCCATTCCTTTGGTGTGTTTTTCTCTTTAATTTTATGGAAGTTAGAGTCTTTGTGAAGTGAGATATCATGATTGTTAATTTTGTGTCTCTGCCTTTTAGATCTACACAGATTTTGATGAAATCAGGCAAGAAATTGAAAATGAAACCGAAAGAGTTTCTGGAAATAACAAGGTAAGGAAGAGTCCTTAAATTAACTAAATCAGATGATGGTTTATTTTTTAAACCTGTATGTGCGCTACCGTTTACAAGTAATGGGGTCAGTAAGATTTTTTTTACAATGATGCATTAAATTAATAAAAATATCAATTAAAGGGGTGGTTCATTGCGATTTTACTTTTTTAACGTTAGTTAGTGTGTAATGTTGCTGTTTGAGCATAAACAATATCTGCAAAGTTACGAAGCTGAAAGTTCAATGCAAACGGAGATATCGTCTTTTAAAATTCTGGCAGTTTAATGCATACAAAAACGGCTGGTAGGGATTACAACAAGTTACTTCCCGGGTTCGTGACATCACAAACCCAGATAAACCCCGCCCTCGGGAAAAGGCAGCAAAGGGGGCGAGGCCATGCTGCGCTGCTTTAGAGAAGAGGAAGAGAAAACTAGAGGTGCACGTAAAAAATCTATTTATATATGAATCGCGATTCTGTCTTGTTAACACATGTTAGACTGCACCCCATAAACACAATCAAGCCTAGGAAAAAAAAACAGTGAACCACCCCTTTAAGTAAAGGTATTATAATTTTACAAAAGATTTCTGTTTAAAATAAATGCTGTTCCTTTCAACTATTTAGAATCCAGGAAAACATTTTACCACAGTTTCCACAAAAATATTAAGCAGCACAACTGTTTTTAACATTGATAATAATAAGAAATGTTTCTTGAGCAACAAATCAGCATATTAGAATGATTTCTGACGGATCATGTGACACTGAAGACTGGAGTAATGATGCTGAAAATTAAGCGTTACCATTACAGGAATAAATTACATTTTTAAAATGAATTAAAATGGATTTGAATCAAATGAATTGAAGTTATTTTAAATTTAATGATATTTTTCAATATTTGTGTTTTTACTTTTTGATCCAATAAATGCAGCCTTAATGAACATAAGAGACTTGTTTCAAAAACATGAAAAAATCTTACCAACCCCAAACTTTTGAACTGTAGTGCAATTTCTATTGACATCGGCAGTTTAACAAATACAGAACGTTGTGTCATTGTTTCACAGGGGATCAGTGATGAGCCAATTCACCTGAAAATCTTCTCACCACATGTTGTCAATCTCACGCTGGTGGATCTGCCTGGCATCACAAAGGTGTTTTATTCAGTAGCTTAGCGTGACCTGTTTGAATATTCCTTTTGTGTATTATTTTTTTATGCTGACACTGATATATTCATGTTCAGGTCCCGGTGGGAGACCAGCCTAAAGATATCGAGCTGCAGATCCGCGAGCTGATCTTAAAATACATCAGCAATCCCAACTGCATCATTTTAGCTGTCACTGCAGCGAACACGGACATGGCCACCTCTGAAGCTCTGAAAGTGGCCCGTGAGGTGGATCCAGACGGTCAGCATACTAAAGTTTATTTTGGTCTGCTTGTGTATTTGTTGTTTTGCACACAATGTCTGTACCTTTCAGTTTGTGTGATGTGATGTTTTTCCACATAGCTGTGTGATGCAGATTTTTTTTAAAATCTTTTTTAAAAATTTTAAATTTTTCACAGCATTTTAATTTTTTTCTTTTCTGCTTTCAGGTCGCAGAACACTGGCTGTAGTGACTAAACTAGATCTGATGGATGCTGGTACTGATGCAATGGATGTTCTCATGGGCAGAGTCATTCCTGTCAAACTAGGACTGATTGGAGTGGTCAACAGGTACAAAAAAATAACAGTGGTAGTTAAAACCATGACGACGAATTATTTGGCCAAGAGGCTGAATGTAGAGGATGAATAATAATGGTCCGAGAACTGAGCCCTGAGGAACACCCTGTTTGAGCAAGACCGTGGGAGATTTGGAATTGTTTAATGTTCTGAATAAGATCGAAACAGTCCAGTACAGTCAATAGTTGAGCAGTATTAGAGCAAACAGTGTCAACATGGATGTTAAAATCACCAAGATAACCTGGGACGACACAGCACAGACTAACGCTAGTAATTGACTGAGTTCTGAGAAGAATTCAGTTTGCTGCTTGGGTGGTCTATAAATTAATATAACTATGACGGGACGTTTTAAACCAACCTTCATAAGCATAAACTCAAATGTCGTAGTATTATGAAAATCCAGTTGGGTAAGTTCTATGGAGTCACGATAAATGACTGCAAGACCACCCCCTTTGCCAGTTGTACGAGGTTTAGACAGATATTGATATCCGGTCGGGGTAAGCAAATTTAGATGCAAATAGTCATATGGTGATTGCCAAGTCTCGGTAAGAAATAACATATCCAGGTTATTGTCAATAATTAGTTCGTTTATATAGGAACCTTTATCAGAAATGGAGCGACAATTAAGAAGAGCACAGTGTTTCTCCACAATGCTTCCATTGGAGGTAACGTTATCCATGGAGTCAATCCTAGTAGTGTTGACAAGTGTTCGCGGTGTTCGACAGTTCCTTTGAGACATTTTTTTTTTTAAATGTCTTAATACAGGAGTCAGCTGGATATCAATAATAAGAAAAGTGTGGCAGACTCCATCCGTGATGAGCATGCCTTCCTGCAGAAGAAATACCCCTCCCTCGCCAACAGAAATGGAACCAAGTATCTCGCCAGAACATTAAATAGGTGAGAGTTTAAGCTTGAAACATCATATTTCATTAATTTTGCTGAGCATATCTGCTTTTTGAAGTATTAAAATCCTATTTTTTCCCCACCAGGTTATTGATGCATCACATTAGGGACTGTCTACCAGAGCTGAAGACACGTATCAATGTTTTAGCAGCTCAGTATCAGTCCCTGCTCAGCAGCTACGGCGAGCCGGTAGAGGATATGAGCTCCACCCTGCTGCAGCTCATCACAAAGTTCGCCACTGAGTACTGCAACACTATTGAAGGAACGGCCAAATACATTGAAACTGCTGAACTGTTAGTTCCTCTTTTCTTCCAGTCACTCAAATAAAGCCGTTTGATTTGCTATATACTCTACGATTCAAAAGTTTAGGCTTGGTACAATTTTTTTAAATGTTTTTGAAAAAGTCTCTTATGCTCGTCAAGGCTTTTATATGATCAAAAATACATTAAAAACAGTATTATTATGAAATATTATTACAATTTAAAATAACTTTTCTTTTTTTAATATATTTCAAAATGTAATTTTGATCAGTTGATCAATTTAATGCATCCTTGCTGAATAAAAGTATTGATTTCTTTCAAATAAAAAAATCTTGCTGATCCCAAACTAGGTGGTGTTAGTGCTAACCATAGTTGTTTGTTCTAATATTTTTAGGTGTGGTGGTGCAAGAATTTGTTATATTTTTCATGAGACGTTTGGTAGGACACTGGAGTCGGTCGATCCTCTTGGAGGACTTACAACCATAGATGTCCTCACAGCTATTAGGAACGCTACAGTAGGTTTTGCAATGAATATTTGACTCTAGCATCCTTTTTATAATTTGAATTTAGTCCCGTCTGTACTTGTATGGATATAAAATAGAGACCGCAGCCAGCTGTGCTCTGCATTGAGCTGCAGGTTTCTATTTTAGCAAAACTCCTTTGAGGAACCTTTCATTATTAGAGTGATTTAAAGAGGCTCTTGTATAACACTGTAGAGCTAGATAGTATGAGGTGTATATTTCTGTAGTTTGTAATGTAGATGTTGTGTGTTTCCTCAGGGTCCCCGTCCTGCGCTGTTCGTGCCTGAGGTGTCGTTTGAGCTGCTGGTGAAGAGGCAGGTGAAGCGTCTGGAGGAGCCCAGTCTGCGCTGTGTGGAGCTGGTGCATGAAGAGATGCAGAGGATCATTCAGCACTGCAGCAACTACAGCACTCAGGTAGACTGATCGATTGTTGGTCTGCATATACATGTTCTTCTTTGCCTGTTGCATCATGTCTCACTTTTTTCCCCACAAAAAAACTGTTTTTCCACTGTTATACAGTACATCAGTTAAGGCCTGTTCATGCTAAGAACAATAACTGAATAGCAAAGTCAACATCATGAATATAATAATAATGACACCAAGGAACAATGTCATTGGAATCACTTTCAGTGTTGTTTTTCCAACTAATGAACAATAAAACCATTGATAAACATTCCTCTGACTCTAAAGAGCTTAAGCAATATAACTGCAGCGCTTAGCATAAACAGAATGTTGGTGTGGAATGGATGCTAATAGAGTTAGGGTTACACCGTGTCTACACCGGACGCGTGTTATTATTATTTTATAATTATTATGTTTAATTTGATATATATTATAGTAATTATACTAAGCTGATTATATGGAAGCCTGTTTCCGCCTTGAAAATCATTTGAAATTTGTGTCAGTACATCATAAATAGAACGCGGCAGGCGTTTACTGCCAGGGATTTGTCGTGTCACGCCGCATCACTGATTATAATGGGTTCTATAGTATTTTGTCGCGCTGCGCCCTTCGCGTCCGGTGTAGACACAGTGTTATAGGTGTGAATGGGCCTTTAGTGATGGCCAAGGCAATATTTGCTCATATTGAGATTAACGCTATTGCGAATAACTGTTTGATTGGCCGATTAAAAAAAAAAACTACCTTCCTACGTACCACCTAGTGTCAGTTTTTGAATTTTGAGTTAATACTGTGTCAATTTAAAGGACGTGTTGATATTAAATGTATCGATTTTGTGTGCTTATTTTGCGTATTTTACATGTAGTTTTAATTTAGTAATTATTATGTGCAAAATTAAATGTTTATTGTACAACTATTTTCTCTTGAACGTTTCATATCTGTATATGCTACATATTTACATCCAACACTCAAATATAATTTCTGATACTTAAAGTGATTAGATTAGTTTTAAAAAAAGAAATGTATTTTTTAAGTTATTGTTTTTATTTGTGTTTATTAGTTATTATATTATATTCAATTCTGACTTTTTTTCTCAGAATTGCGTGATATAAACTCGCAGTTGTTAGTTAAAAAGTCATAATTGTGAGATATAAACTCGCAATTCTGAGAACATATCAGTCTTTTTCCCTCCCTCAAAATTGGACTTTAACTCGCAATTGCGTGTTTATATCTCACAATTCTGTGAAAAAAAGTCAGAATTGTGAGAGAAAAAGTCGCAATAACCTTGTTTTTTTTTTATTCAGTGGCTGAAACGGGCTTCCATATGATTATGAAGCTAAAGAGTACAAAATTAAATGTTTATTAAACAGATTTTACTTTTCTTATCCAACATTTTCTTCATCCAATAGTCAAATATAATTGCTGGTAGTTAAATGATTAGATGGTTTTATCAGCATTGTTTGAATTTCTTTTTGCGATTTTATTTTATTGACGTTTCTTTCCTAGGAGTTGCTTAGGTTTCCAAAGCTCCACGATGCCATAGTAGAAGTGGTCACTTCTCTTCTCAGGAAGAGGCTACCAGTCACCAATGAGATGGTTTGTTTTAGTTTTTTTCTCTCATGCTTTTTATGTGCATGATGTGTATCTTCTCTAAATGAGTGTTTACGCTGTGCTCCAGGTTCACAATCTTGTGGCGATTGAGTTGGCTTATATCAACACCAAACACCCAGACTTCGCAGATGCCTGTGGGCTCATGAACAACAACATTGAGGTTTACAGATTTTTTAATGACGATTTAATTTTGATTTACGACCGAAATGCATTGATTAGAACATATTTCAGTGTAAAGTCTATTCTTGTTGTCTTCGTAACAGGAGCAGAGGCGTAACCGAATGAGAGAGCTTCCCTCAGCAGTGTCCCGTGATAAGGTATCATGTTAAATCATCAGGGGATATATTGTATATTTTTCACACGAAAACGTGACAGCCTGCTATTTGCAATGTTCTTTTGTTCTCTTTTCCTCTCTAGAAATTCTAGAAAGTCTCTAGAATTAGTTCAAAACCTGCTGCCTTCCTCTCTAGCTGACTAGTCTCTTCTTTTCCTGTCTCTCTTTGTAGTCCTTAAAAGGTCCTGGTGGGCAGTTAGTGTCTCCCACCGAGCAGCCGCCTGCTGAGGGCGATGGCCCTAAGGTGTGTGGCACCCCCTGTGTGTAGGGGCAAAGCCAATCTGATGATTTTACTCATCAGGATCTTCTCAAACTTCTGTTGTGTGTTTGCTGTGTTGATATTAAGGTTGATTTTGAAGACCCTGGACAACTGCTGCTGTTTTTTGCAGTATCTTTTCAGTTTAAGGCCGAAATTGGTGTTTTATGTGTGAACCGTTGTGTGCAAACTTTAAGTTTGAAGCCTAAAAACAATATGTAAAACCCCAATGGACTGCATGGGAAGGTGCATGAATCACTAGTGGCTGACTGTTCAGTCCTGTGGTGGTGTTCTTGTCTGTGCGTGTCAGATGGCTGGAGGAGCTCAGGGGGAGCAGGAAGGAGGATCTGGGACTTGGAGAGGCATGTTGAAGAAAGGAGACGAAGGCCAGGGCGAAGACAAGACTAAACCACAGAGCTCCGTCCTCGCCAGCCCTCAGAAAGGATACGCAGTGAACCTGCTTGATGTGGTGAGTCCATAAAACACAAATACATTTGATTGTGCCACAGAAATGACTTAAAACGAGTAAATTAACACTCTTTGAGAGCTGTTTGCTAACACGGTCACAATGAATTAGTGTTGATTTGTTCTGATCTTCGGACAGCCTGTGCCGGTCGCCCGGAAACTGTCTGCTCGTGAACAGAGGGACTGCGAGGTCATCGAGAGGCTCATCAAGTCGTATTTCCTCATTGTCCGTAAAAACATCCAGGACAGGTAGATGCCACGTGAATCAGTTTCTGGTTTCATGTTTTAAGCAGATTGCTCATTCTGTTTCTCTGTCTCTGCAGTGTACCAAAGGCTGTGATGCACTTCCTGGTTAACCATGTGAAGGACAGCTTACAGAGCGAGTTAGTGGGGCAGCTGTATAAACCCGCCCTGCTGGACGACCTCCTCACAGAGTCAGAGGACATGGCCCAGCGCCGCAATGAAGCCGCAGATATGCTGAAGGTAACGGCAGCAGTAATAATCTGTATAATTAGTAATAACTTATATTAAAGTAAAAATGTTTGTAATTCTATGAATTTACAATAATAAATATATATTAGTCTAACATGTTTAGTAATATAGTCGTTACATTTATATTAATAATACTACTAGTAATTTACTATTAAACAATATTAATGAAATTATAATTAACAATGTATAATTAGTAATAATAATGTATATTAAAGAAAAATGTGTTGTAATGGAGAGTAGCCTTTACAATAACATTTAATTGTTAATTATATATATATATATGTATATAAGTAACAATAATGTATATTAATTAGCCTTTACATGAATATTAATTTAATAATGCTACAAATAATCCATCGTTATTTAAGATTAAATAATAGTATTAAATAATTATTTAATATTATATTATTAGTTATTTTGTATTAATATAAAATGTGTAGTAATGCAGAGTAGCCTTTACATTACAATAATATTAATTGTTAATAATAATGTATTATTATGTAATAATTATATATAAATAAAATTAGTAATAATAATGCATATTAATGTGAAAATTATTAGTAATGCAGAGTAGTCTTTACATTAATTTTATTTAATAATGCTACAAATAATGCATCATTATTTAAGACTAAACCATAGTATTAAACATTTAATGATATATAATAAGTAATTTATGTTCATATAAAATGTGTAGTAATGCAGAGTATCCTTTAATATGAATTGTATTTTATAATACTACTACTACGAATTATTACTATATAATGTATATTAATAATAATATGTATATTAATGTAAAATGTAAAGTAATGCAGAGTTGCCTTTACATTAATAGTAATTAATTGTAATAATGATTATAAATTATTTAATAATTATAATATATATAATTTGCAATAATTATGCATAGTGATAATGTATATTCATGAAAAAATGGTTAGTAATGCAGAGTATCTTTTTCATTAATATTATTTGTTAATCATGAATATTTCTTTATTATTATTAATTATATAGTATTAAATAATAGCATTATATTTTTTCATTATTTCTATCATTACTTATTCTTTTTAATTAATTAAAACAATTAATATTAATGTAGAGGCTAATTTAAACTTTTTTTTATAATTTTAAATTATTGTATTGTGTTTTATCATGTTATATGATGAGCAATTTTCAACTCGTTTAAAACTTATATCCTCTCCTCTACCCCTAGGCCTTGCAGAAAGCCAGTCATGTGATCGCTGAGATCCGAGAAACACACCTGTGGTGAAGTCCAGCTGATGTACAGCCCCTCTCCCTTTCACTCGAACCCTGCGGTCTGCATCAGCCTCGTCTCTCTTCTGTCTGGATTTCACAGACAGCCAACTTGAAAAATGCACTGGTGTCAGTTAGTGTGTATTGAATATAATTTTATGTACTCAACGGACTCTTCTTTAAATACACTGAGGGCAGCACATATCAGTTCTAGGGCTGCACGATAAATATCGCATGATATTTAACGCACATCTCGTCAGTAAAGCCGGTTCTGTAATCATTAACTACACAGAGCCGTTGTTCACTGACAAGCTGCGCAAAACCACGATCATATTTTGCACGTTTGCGCAGCTTGTCAATGAACAACGGCTCTGTGTAGTTAATGCTGCTCCATGTGAAAGCACGCACGTGTAGAGATTTACGCTGATTACAGAACCGGCTTTACTGACGAGATACGTGTTAAATATCGTGCGATATTTATCGTGCAGCCCTAATCACTTCACACCTGCACACGTCCCATTCTGTGATCTCTCTCATGTATGTAAGCAGATACATAATGTGCGCTGCAGATAATGTGTGGCCTGTTAAAGGACTGTGTGTCCCTGATCTAGCCTAAATTAAAGGTAGTGATACAAACAAATTAAAGGGTTTGTCATGATGTTGTGGCTTCATTTGCAACTTTTGGTATGATTGGACATTTGCGGAAGTGCTCTCAGAAATAATTTAATGTATTTCTGTTCGATATAGCCATCAACTTCGGATTATATTGACAATTTTGCAGGATCACACAAAAAAAATTTCTGAAAATAATTACAAGGGCTACCAAGATAAAGTGAGAAGCATTTGACTGGTCATGTGATCTCAACTTGGTGGCCCCTATATAAGGGTGACATGCTCAATGTAAATAAATCCCCTTTTATTAGACTGTTGATAGTGACTACATGATTTGAAACATAAGCAGCACTCATCTCTTTTGTGTGAATGTATAAAACTTTTTTAATAAAACCAAAATTACTAGATGCACCTTTAATTTCATAGTGTTGTTTGTTCATTTTTCCATTTTTGGTCATATAAAATGAATGGTGAGGCAAACTTTTGATTAATGTAGTTTAATTCAATGTTAGTGTTTTTATCTGCACCTATAATTTTCACACATAACCGTTCATTTTATGGTGTACTGCAACTATATTATATTTACTGTTACATATTAATAATAATACAATATGTTGCTGATATAATTTAATAAACAGACTAAATATTTTTATTTGATTAAATAATATAAACATAAATGGAGTACACTGAAACTAACAGTAAGTCCTAATATTTACTCATGGCAAAAATAAGCAAGTGTGTACAGCCAGAGCATTTTTATATGTTCTGAATAATGACTTAAATAACTTCAAACAAAACTAATGCAGGAGGACCGAAATTCCTCTCATATGTGCTGTCAACATCTATCTCAGCCTTCCTCCCATCTTGCCTTTGCCGCGTCCCTTGGCACTAAGAGAGAAAAGCAAGAGGTTAAAATTAGTTTTTGGCCTTACATCTGAACATGGTTCAACACTCTAAGTGGTTAGTGAGATTTCAAGCTTGTGATTTATACCTCTGGTGATCCTGGACGCGGGCAAGGAGTTGATTTATCTGAGAGACGGAAACGTGACAGTTAAGTGCTAACAGGATACAGTGATAATGAACACAACCTAATTACCTCAGACAACACTCCAGCTGTTCAACGTGAACTGGATTTTGTTAAACTGTCAATGACTCAAAAATTGGGTCTGGCAGAAGCTCCGTAACGTCTCAAAAGCAACTTGAAAGTAAGCAAAGGAAGTTGTCACTTACATCGTATTTCTGGTGTTTCAGTTTCTCGTTTAGATCGTACTTTTCTGCTTCCAGCTGCATCAACCACTGCCACAATTCATTGGCTTTATCACTGCAACCAGAGACACAAATGGTAATATTGACACAGAACGCGTTCTGGCGTTCCACTGGGTTGTTTTTAAATTCTTTTTCATCGCCTAGTTGCAGTTAAAGTTCGAAAACCGCGTTTCGAGACGTTCTTTTCCCGTTCATCTCGTTTTTGAACGCAAGAAAGCGTTCAGTGCGAATGGCCACTATTACTACAAGTGTTTTTGTGTGTGTGTGTGTTTTTGTTTTTTTCATTTGATAGCCTACTAGTTGTGTAGGTTCTACTGTAATAGTAACCATTTCGTAAAACGCGTTTCAAGACGATGTTCTTTTCTATTAGCGTTTTTAAACGCAAGAACAAGTGTGAATGGCCCAAATTATTAGAAATTATCTTAAATGTTTGACTTGTAGTTTTTACTGTAATAGTCACTAGGCCACTGATTGGTGGTAAAGGTCAACTATTAACCAGTGCCAATAATATGCATATAAATAATATGTGCCCATATATAAAAGCTTTTGTACTTGAGTTTGTCGTCACTCAGATGATCAATGCTCAGTGGTTTTCGGCGATCAGCCAGGATCTTCTTCTTTTTCTCTCTTTCGGTCTGTTTCTTTGCACCTTTGCGTCCTTCGCCCTTTAGTTCAGCAATAATTATAATATTAATGAAAGAGACTGCACAGCATTATCATGTAACTTCAAATATTTCGACGTTTACAGTGTTTATATGTTGGTAAACACTGACCCTTTGCTGTGTGCCACCATACTGATGGGTCATATTAGTAAGAGCTTTCTTCTTCTTGGCATCTTCATCCTGCTTCTTTCTCTGCTCTTCCAGCTCCTTCCTCTCTCTCTCTTCCTGTCAACAATTCAGATGGTAGGTTTCATCTCTGTTATAAGCCTGTAGTTCATCGTTTCACTTCAATGGCTGGGCAAAAAAATCAGTTAAATCTAAATTGAAAGTTTTGTAGAAATTATCCAGTAGCATGTAAAATGCATTTGTTTGACTATACAAGGAGAATTTTGTTAACATCCTCAACAAATGTGATTTAAAGGTGTAAATTCAGGACTAGTTTGGTGTCATTGGTGGAAGGTGTTCCAGTAGGCAGCTGGTGTAGTTTAGCAGGTGTCTGAGCAGAAGATGGCAGGCGTTGACAGTCAGAATGTGACAGGAACTCACGGTGAGTCTGGCCTGTCGCTCTTTCTCTCTCTCTGCTCTTTTTTGCTGCTGCTCGGCTCTCTCCGCTCGCCTCTTCTCCTGTTCAAACACATATTTACATACTTATGCTCGTAAGTTTATGTACCTCTTGCAGGATCTGCAAGATGTTGATCTTGTTTAAAATAAAAATTAGAATACCTCTTATCGACTTTTATATTTAACAAAATTTTTAAAAAAGGATGCAAACCTATAAGAATTACTGTCTACGCAAGACATTTACATCAGCAATAAACAACATTTATGAGGAAGCACTCACAATTCTGTTGACCAGAGCAATGAGTTCCTCTTCATCTTTCTGTCTCTGGAGGAAATGAGCCTCTATAAGAGACTGTAGTTCTGCTAAATCCTTCTCCTGACGCTTTTTTTGGATGTCCTGCCACACACACACACACACAATTGATACAGGTTACAGGTGGTCTAAAAACAAGAGAGGTGTGTGTTTAAAGAGAAAAATCTCCTACTTACATCAAAATCTACTTTGTCTCCCTCTGGAATTTTTGGTGGTTGGATATTTGATAGATATCTGAAGATAAAAGATTGAGCCTTTAAAAAAAGTTTTATTCTGGCTATATAATTATAGGCTCTGTACAAGAGAACAATGGGACTTACTTTGGTTTGGACTTTGGGTCATCTACTGTAATTGGAGAAAGAGGTGTTTTTAACCGCAAGTGAATAGAATAGTAACAATAAATCATTTTTTAATGTTATTAAAATAATACGAATTAGTATAGGCAGTATCAAATTGCCAAATGCATTTTTCACTAATTTTGCTCAAATAAGGTGTATTCTGTTTGTTGGTAATTATACTTGGTGCAAACAATATATGCCAATGTAAATGTATGTAAATAGCCACTGGCATTATAATAAATAGCTAAATAAATTAATGTTAAATTAAAATATTAAAATATACAATACCTTCCTCCCTTTTATAAAATGAGATCAAACACAAACAAAGAGACAAAAGATTTGTAAGTGAAAATATGATGCATTTTTATCATAATAAATCATGCATAAATCATGCAAATAAATTATAAAGTATTGCAAACTTTGGAGTAAAAGACTGTTACTCACTGAACTCCCTCATCCATCACATCTTCTGTGTCAGACATGACTATAAACTACGTCAAAGATTACATGCAGGATACATTAGAAACATTGTTAAATGCAACACCAATACCAAAATACATCCTGTTCATTATTCCTACAAGGCAGGGATTTGGTAGGAATAGATAACTCTTACCTGGGTTGTGTGTGGATCTCAGAGATCTCAGGAGCCGCTCTCTTTTAGAGCGCAGTGTTAGAGCAGCGGGCCTCAGTCTCAAGGCTAACATACTAACACACCACGTGATCACAATGGCCTCTCATTGGCGTGCACTGAAAGCCTTCGTCTATTGTTAGACTGTCAGATGCATTTCAGTAAAGTTCTAAAACCAAACATTCTCTATGACCTGCCTTGTTTTACCACCCCATGAAACCCAATCCATTCAAAGAAAGAAGCAGACAGCTTGTCTCAAATAACAATGAGTGCAGTACAGGAAACACACAGAGGCAATGTGTGCATGTATCACTACTTTACTGTGAAAGCTTGTTTGACAATACAACAATTGTACAGTTGCTGAGATCATCACTGATAGTCTGAACTGTTATAGTAGGAAATACTTGATTGATATTTTGAAAGAGTTGAACTATATTACTACCAAAATGATTTATAATGCTATACCAGTAAGATTGTTAAGATGTAGTGTTTGTAGCATGACTTTGAGACTCCCAAGTGCAAAGCATATGATTGAAAGTCATAAGGCAAAAGCAGTATTAGCAAAGCAACATGTTATAAAGCATTACATCATGAGTGCAAAATCAACAGGACATCTGAATCCCCATGCACATGAAACTTCAGAGGGAGAATAGGAAGTTTTACTTTTTTTTCTTAAAATTTACATTTTTAATAATGCCATAATCAAGGCTATAGATGCAGTCTAAAGAAAGATGCAGTCAAATTTAGTGTTGTTTGGCAAATATTCATGAACAAAATCCTGCCTTTTCATTAGGATTCCATGCAATCTGGAAGTTCGCTTAAGAGCGAAAGATTGACCCACACAGATTTTACTTGGTTTGAAAGTGACTTCTGCATGAACCGTGCTTAATACATGTTTACACTATTGACAAAAGACAATTTTGTTAATGCTACTGCATCTGTTTTAATGGTTACTGGTAGCTGTAATTGTATTATAATTGTTTATTATAATTTTATTTTCTGATGTAATAAAAAAGTAAATTGTTTATATAATTCAATAAGAAAATGAGATTTAATAAAAAAAGTTTTCATCTTATGGGATTCCGGACAGTAGGGACAAAATAATGCTAAATGCAAATAATAAAATTCAACTATATAATCATGCATAGTTATGAGAGCAAAATAAATAAGTGTATCAATGTTTAAAAGATAAGTGAAAACACTTTCCACTTAAACACTTGCGTCCAATCAAACTCTATAGTGTGTTGGTGTAAATCCACCTGTCACTTTTTAATAATGTTTGATATTAAAGGGATAGTTCACCCAAAAATGAAAATGAATTACTCACCCTCATGTCGTTCAAGGCCCAGAACGGTAGTAAGGAAATCGTTAAAATAGTCCATGTGACATCAGTGGTTCAACCGTAATTTTATGAAGCTACGATAATACTTTTTGTGCGCAAAGAAAACAAAAATAACGACTTTATTCAACAATTTCTTCCCTTCTGTGTCAGTCGACAATACCACAATGCATTCATGTGCATTCCTCCCTTTGCAAACATGCCGCAGCGCATCCGGGTTCTACATCAGATTCTCCGGGTTCTACTCCTGCGTCAGTAGTGTCACATGCATGCGTTGTGGTACTGCCGTGAACGCGCGTCGAAGACTGACACGGAAGAGAAGATATTGTTGAATAAAGTCGTTCTTTTTGTATTCATTGCACACAAAAATTACTCTCGTAACTTCATTACTTATTAAGGTTGAACCACTGATGTCACATGGACTATTTTAACGATGTCCTTACTACCTTTCTGGGCCTTGACCATGGTAGTTCCCTTGCGGTCTATGCAGGGTCAGAAAGCTCTCGGATTTCATCTAAAATATCTTAATTTGTGTTCCGAAGATGAACGAAGGTCTTTACGGTTTTGAAACAACAAGACGGTGAGTAATCAATGACAGAATTTTCATTTTTGGGTGAACTATCCCTTTAATACTTTAATATGTATTATTTGGCTTGTGCATTCATGGTAATTTGAATCAATTTAAATGTTTTAGTTTAAAGGCTTTTTAAACTTACAAAATGTTTATTTTGTTCTGTAAGTTGTCGCTTGATTTCCAATGTAAGATCTGTGTCCTGAAGTTGCAAAATCATGCACATTTAATGGATGCATCTTCCACTTTGGCTGATCTGAGATCCGTCGGATGTCTTTATTTTCTTGTTCCTGTAAAACATCAGGGAATACGTTGTTAATGTGCTAATGAGTTATCTAAAGAGACAGTACGAGCGAGTTACATTTGCTCTACATACGTCATGTGTATAACTCAGCAGGCTTTTTCAACACTTCCTCAAATACACGAAAGCAAATACATCAGCCGTTCACACCTGTTCCCAGTTAGAGAGTTAACACGTTGGTGCCGTGACCCAGACGAATACACACGACATGGTCAGAGGTCTCAAGTTGTGCCACAAGTGCGACAAATACCTGGTACATTGTCATCTATGTCACTCTCAAGGACAAATTCAGCTGAAAGACCAGGAAAGGTAGCCGACACTAGCTTCTTTGCTAGCTTTTTCGCTAGTACCTTTGAATTAATAGTAATAAACCATAAAAACAGATTCCTGTCAGGACTCATGTGCTAGATTTGGGTGTTAAGGAGGTAATGTGACATAATGTGATACTTTTATCCTTTCTGTAACTCTGAATATTAAACAGCTTTGCTGTGTGACATCATGCTAATCCAGTGATTCATGTCCATGCAGTGGCACAACAGAACAGCTGCGGCAGGGAATGCGACACATCACAACACAATGCTACATGGGAGGCGCTGGGTGAAACAAACACGTTGGAATTATGCCTGACACGCCGGCGGTCCAATGCAGGAGAACAGGATCGGGGCTTTAAATATAGCGTGGCATGATATGCGAACGAGAGATTTACGGTCTTGCTGGCCAGTTAGAGTCATGACTTCAGACATTTGCTGTCGCCGCACCGTCAGTTTAAACACCTCCCACTGGCTGCTCCACCCTTTTTAGGTGTGAAGATATTTTGAAAAATGGCTTTTTTTGACCAATTAATGTCAATGTTATTTTTTGGACCCCATTTGATTTTCATTGCATGGACAAAAGCAGTTGAAACATTCTGCAAAATATCTTTTGTGTTCCACAGAAAAAAAGCAAAAACCCACAAAGGTCACTCACCATTTGTGACGAATTTACTCTTGGCTGCGAACACCTGAAACAAAAAGCAACCCAATAAGTGTGTGATTTGAAAAAGTCCTGCACCTTCAATCCAATCTCACAGGAAAATGTGACTATTTTACGAAATGGCGATTTTATATAAATGTGTACATTGTGAATTGTATGAAAATGTATGATTTTTTGAAAAAGTATTCATGAAGGTCCACCCCTAAACATAACTATCACTAGGGCGTGAGCAGATCGTACGAAAATGCATGAATGAGATCATATGAATTAGCTACCAATTCGTCAAAATGTAAAATAGTGCCAAGAGATTGTGTTGGTATTTTGGTACTATTAAAGGTACAACTGTTAATAATATTGGGGGAAAATTATAATGAGAAACATTCTGGTGACAATATCTGAGAAAGGGATGATGGGATGCACCATTGTACATCAAACCTTTGCCATCCAGTCATATACAGTATAAAATTAACCACTGAGATGATACAGACCCTTCAAGATGAAAGCTCTTTTTGGAAACAGGGCCATTGCTTGAATTCATGAGTCCTGTGACCAATTTTAGGTCTAAAGACATGCTAGCTATTTGTAAAGTTGGTAGATGACCCAATACTTTGCGTAAAGTGAATAACAAACCATAAAATCAACTGGTATCAAACACCACTTAAGTTTTTCCTGTTAAACCTCGAGATCTGTCAGTCTTTACTGGGTCGGTCAAAGGAAACAATCAATGAAATAACTGACTTTAATGGACTTAAACATCATATGATGTTTCCACCCATTCAGCTTACCTTGGCAGGTGTGGAGCCCTTTGTTTCCCATGGGCCACGTGGTTTAGTGACTGCAGCTGGCTTTTGCTCCTTTCAAAACACAAAATTACACCACCCCAATTAAATTTGCATACAGTAGGTTAATGGATTTTATAGGAATGTTTTATGTAAAGTTTACCTTTCTAGAGGGGGATTGAATAGAAAAAGAGAAAAAACAGCAGACAGCAGCGTGACAGGAAAGGGAAAGGGAAAATAAAAGGCCACAGCTAGAGGAGTGGGAAGGAGATGGAGATAAAATCAGTAATGGAAAGATACAGGATCCTTTCAATAAAGTACTGAGACCGTTTCAGATGGCAATACCATTGTACAGAATGAATACTGTAAACATGTACCATGGTTTTTACATGGTATTCCAAGGTATTTCAAAGAATACTATAGTGTTACTATGACACATGCCCAAAAATCTATGGTACCCAACTTATTTATTAAAGAACTATAAACATACATATATTTTAAAAATGATCAATTCTCACTATTAACTAACTATTAACTATGACTTTTGCCTCAAGATCCTAATTTGCTGCTCATTAATATTTTTTCTATATACTTTTTAAATCTAATTCACAAATGCAATACACTGAAGAATCACTGGAGGGCCACCTTGCACCATCCAGAATATAAAAGTGTTTATCTAAATTTACTTCAACTTGTGTGAAGCCACACTTCACTGTTCATGTGAACGTTTTGAATTCTATAATAGAAAATGTAGATACATAAATAAATGACTAAAAACTAAAATTGGTATAAAAATGAAATAAAACTATATAGAGATATTTAAAACAAATAATAATAAAATAACAAAATCAGATAAAATTTCTAAAACAAACTAAATTTAAAATGAAAATCTAAAAATACATTTTAATTCAGAATATTAATAAATACTATAATATAATATAATTAATACTACAATAACACTGGCAGATGGACAGACAGACAAAGATAGATAGATAGATAGATAGATGTAGACAAAGTGACAGACTCACTGTTTTGGCAGGTGGTTTTTCTGGTTCAGGAGCTGGTTTGAAATCCTCTCGGACACAGTATGCATTGCAAATTGTAGACTCTAACCACAACTATCAAAGTAGGTAAAATCTCCACAGAGAGGGTTGTCTGATGGTCATAGATTGTGTGTGAACAGGTCCACTGTAATCAATGTCTGATTCTTATATAGTTACTGGAGTCTCCAGTTCTCTTCTTAATGTGTAAAGTGTTACAGTATGAGTGACTCTGATCTTGAAGGCTGGTAAAAGAAGCTTAAAATAAACAGAGCCATGAGTGAAATATAGCTCAGGAGAGAAGGTTGGAGCTGTGCCACATCAATGCATGGATTGCGACACTTGACCTCTCACTGATTTCTAAAAAAACACTCTTTTTTTGTTTCATGTCAAAGCATTAAAGGTTTCTAGGGCTGACAAAAACACTACTCCATTTCAAATCCATTAATTTTAAGTTCACAAGATCTCTGGTATCTCACCAGCTTTACACTTCCTCTCCATGTGAAGATCATTTCCTATTTACTGCATTTCACTAAAGGCCTAGGTATATATAAAAAAAAACTTAGAAAATAGTTAGAAAATTAGAAAATGAAGCCTTGGCAAGTAAGTGAAATAAGTTTAAACTTAAGCATTAAAATGACTAAAAACTAAAATTGGTATAAAAATGAAATAAAACTATATAGAGATATTTAAAACAAACAATAATAAAATAACAAAATCAGATAAAATTTCTAAAACAAACTAAATTTAAAATGAAAATCTAAAAATACATTTTAATTCAGAATATTAATAAATACTATAATATCATATAATTAATACTACAATAACACTGGCAGATGGACAGACAGACAAAGATAGATAGATAGATAGATAGATGTAGACAAAGTGACAGACTCACTGTTTTGGCAGTGTTAATGCGCCCAGCCACACCGATGTTCAGGCCAGCTGTTTCCTGAGAGGACATACTTTTGTTTGTCAGATTAATACTGCTTCATCTGCTTATTTCAGTGATCATGTACTAAAACTCTCTTCTCTCGTCTCTTCTCTTGTACCTTGGTGGCCGGTGGGGGGCTTGCTGGACTCGGGGTGGGATTGACCACATTCCCCTTCTCCCACATACTCTTGATGCTCCGCAGGCCTTCAGCCACAGGTACATCCACAGGAGATTTGGGTGATTTGGTCACTTCTTTGGTCTGCTGAACAACAGATAAGAGTCTCAAACTGAGTTATAAATGACAGGTGGCTGCTCTAGTGTTTACAATTCCTCACCTGAACAGCAGAAGTGTATTGCTCTAGTCTGTTTCCAATCTTGCAAACTAATGGAGTGTGTGACGTCTTAACGGGACTGGTGTAAATAAACAACAGTATGAACTCAGTATATGCCAGACCCCAGTACTTGTTCGACTGTTTGAGTAAACACACTTCTTACCTTTTTAGAGCAGATTTGTTCAGAAATTCGGCTTTCTCTCCAATCTGTCACAGAATAGTATCATATAAAACACATTATTATAGTACTATGTTAAAAAAAAAAGGTAATACTACAGTGCTTTTTTGTAAAAGTCAGAATAGATCATAGAGCATTAAACCTTTGCGGAGGCACCCTTCGGAGCGATGAATGGTGCTTTGCTCCCTTCTTTCGACGACTCCTTTTGTTTTTTTTTCTCGGCTGCCTCTGCTCTCCTTCGCTCAATCTCTTCCTTCATCTTCCTCCTCTCTTCCTGTTAATTTTAGTGATGAGAAGAAGACAAGGACAGCATACGTATCACAAATAAAGTGTATGAGGGGCCGTTCACACAAAGTACGTTTGGTTTTCCACTGCACTACTTTTTCATTGTTTTTTTTTCATTAGACGGATGTCTTCGACCTTTGCACGTGCAATGCTCTCATTTTGCGCACAGTATGGCACTCCAAAAATGCATTTTTTTTGTATTCCACTGCACTAGTTTAGTAATGTTTGGTGCGTTTTTACATTCCACTACTTTTCAATTGCTTTTCTACGTAAACTTACGTTAGACGGACACCTTTGACCATTGCTGGCATTGCACTCGTTTTGCACACAACTAAAAATATGGCCCTTAAATTAATTTTTAGAAAACATTTAGACTGCACTACTTTTATATTGTTTTTCAACGTGAATTTAGTTATATACGTTTTACGTTCCACTGTGTTACTTTTCAATTGCTTTTCTGTGTAAACTTGCGTTAGACGGACACCACTTGTGCTTGCGTTCCTCTCGTTTTGCACATAACTAAAAATATAGCCCTCAAATTAAAAGAAGTTTTAGAAAACTTTTAAAATACATTTCAAGACATTGCGTTTTTTTCCAACTACATTGCCCGCATCTCATGTTATTTTTTATTATTATTTTTTTTTTACATTAAAACATGTTGCGTGAACATCCCAACTCAGTATATGCCAGACCCCAGTACTTGTTCGACTGTTTGAGTAAACACACTTCTTACCTTTTTAGAGCAGATTTGTTCAGAAATTCGGCTTTCTCTCCAATCTGTCACAGAATAGTATCATATAAAACACATTATTATAGTACTATGTTAAAAAAAAAAGGTAATACTACAGTGCTTTTTTGTAAAAGTCAGAATAGATCATAGAGCCATTAACCTTTGCGGAGGCACCCTTCGGAGCGATGAATGGTGCTTTGCTCCCTTCTTTCGACGACTCCTTTTGTTTTTTTTTCTCGGCTGCCTCTGCTCTCCTTCGCTCAATCTCTTCCTTCATCTTCCTCCTCTCTTCCTGTTAATTTTAGTGATGAGAAGAAGACAAGGACAGCATACGTATCACAAATAAAGTGTATGAGGGGCCGTTCACACAAAGTACGTTTGGTTTTCCACTGCACTACTTTTTCATTGTTTTTTTTTCATTAGACGGATGTCTTCGACCTTTGCACGTGCAATGCTCTCATTTTGCGCACAGTATGGCACTCCAAAAATGCATTTTTTTTGTATTCCACTGCACTAGTTTAGTAATGTTTAGTGCGTTTTTACATTCCACTACTTTTCAATTGCTTTTCTACGTAAACTTACGTTAGACGGACACCTTTGACCATTGCTGGCATTGCACTCGTTTTGCACACAACTAAAAATATGGCCCTTAAATTAATTTTTAGAAAACATTTAGACTGCACTACTTTTATATTGTTTTTCAACGTAAATTTAGTTATATACGTTTTACGTTCCACTGTGTTACTTTTCAATTGCTTTTCTGTGTAAACTTGCGTTAGACGGACACCACTTGTGCTTGCGTTCCTCTCGTTTTGCAAATAACTAAAAATATAGCCCTCAAATTAAAAGAAGTTTTAGAAAACTTTTAAAACTTTTAGAAAATACATTTCAAGACATTGCGTTTTTTTCCAACTACATTGCCCGCATCTCATGTTATTTTTTTTTTACATTAAAACATGTTGCGTGAACATCCCCTTAGTCTGCATAGATTTTAATTCTGGCACGTTTGATGCATTCCAATTTACATATTATTTGTATAGGATACTATGCCAGAATGAGACAAGTGTCCCAAATCATTTTTGAGTTTAAAAATCAAGAATTTGTGTGTGTTTTAGACTATAGATGTGTTAAAAGAGTCGCATCAAGTTGACTAAATACTGGCATACTGCATGTCTATATACTTAAAAGTACATACTTTACCAGCACAGTACATACTTAGTACGCATAATTAGTATGCAAATTAGCATTCGCACAACTTTCTTTTTCTACCTCCTCTTTGGCTTTCTTTTCTGTCAACTGCTGTTTCTTCTGCTTCTCTTCCTCCTCCAGAATCTTCCTCCTTTCCTCCCTCTTCTTCTTCAGCTCCTCGAGCTCGGCCTCGGCAGTTTGCTGCTTCTGCTTCATCTTCTCCAGCACCTCGCTGTCTGTCTCATTCCGCCTGCGCTTCAGCTCTTGGAGCTTGCGTTCTGCCTCCAGCTTGGCGATGGGATCTTGCTTTTCTGTGTCAGGAGAACGCAAGCTGGTGGGACTAAAACGTGAAGAAAAAATGTCCTTATATTCATTTTGGCTCTCCAAAAAATGAAAAAGGAATGCAAATAAAGTAAATTATGAAATGACAAATGAGTCTTTGCCTTAGTGTCTTCTCTGGTTTCTTGGCTTTGGCGGCGCTGTCAGCTACATCTTGTGGCTTTGTTGACACTTTCAGCTTTGAATGGAGAAACAATGAATATTATTTTATTCTCAGTTTGTGCTGTCATTCCATCAGTCATAAATGTTTTGGTAGAACTGTGATGGTATTTGGACATCAACTTACTTTGTCACGTAAAAAGGAAGGTTTTGGTTTTTTCTCTACAATCTAAAAAGATAAAAACAGGCCACCTTTATTTCTATTAGTGTTAGCAGGTGATTTTTCTAATATAGGAATCAGTGGGTATAGCATGGAGAATTGACCACACCTCATGCAAATTACACAGCAAAACCAGAGCAACGCCAGGCAGTCTTGACAGAAATATTGTTTTCAGAACTGCATGTATAAAGCCAGTGATAAAAGTAAGTGATATGTGATCAGAAATGGGTTAATCTCATGAAAACTTATCCAGGTGATATTTAAGATTTTTGGTGCATTGTGACATTCTTATTGCTGTAATAAGTAATAAAATCAAGTTAAGTGTATTACAGTAAAATAATGTAAAACTAAAATAAACTGGCATAAATTAAATACAACACATCACAGGTTTCATGAGATTGACGCAAAAACTGTGTCCATCCAGTCAAACCAAAAAGCGCATTAAAAGTGTGGGATGTGCATAAAGTACATCTGTGATTTCTATGCATCACTCAGGCTAAGAGGTGAATACCTCCTCCTTCTTTGATCGGACTTTTTCTTCTACTTTGACCTTCGTTTCTTCAGCTTCTTTCTTCCATTTAGGCTTTTCCTCAACCTCTTTCTTTGGAGCCACATGTCTCTCCTCAACCTTCTTCTTTGGTGTTGATGGTTTTTCTTCAACCTCCCTCTTCAGCGGTGGTTTCTCCTCTTCTTTCTTTGGGGCTTTGGCATTCACCTCAACTTCCCTAATTGATTTTTTTGGTGTTTCTTCAACAGGTACATGGGGTTTCTCTTGCTCCTTCATAGGTTTCTCATCTTCCTTTTTCACTGGAGCTTCATCTTGAATTTGAACCTTCACCACAACAGGTATTTCTTCAGGTTTCTTTACCTGTTCTTCTTTCTCCACCAGCTTTTCCTCTTCACTCTGTGGTGTAGTTGGCTGCACTATGACTTCCACCTCTATTTGGTCCTCTTCTGTTGGTTCTTTTCCTGATATTTGACTTTCATCTTCAACCTCTTTCTTTTCTAAATCTGCAATGGCTAAATCTGAATTTGTTTGTTCTTTAGTCTCTATATTAGTTTCTTCCTAAAAATATAACAAATAATTGAAAATATTTTCCGACTATAAATCAATTCAAAGGCAATTTTTGCGTTAAAAACCCAAGCAAATCCTTAGAATCTCATACCTCATTCAGTGCAGCTTGTTCTTTGGGTTTCTCCTCTGTGGATTTCTGTAACAAATGAAGTGTCAGAACAAACTAATATTGTAGAAACCACATGAAATGCATTGCTAACATACTAAACTTTCATCATATGATGGAATGACAGCAAAAAATGTTGAGGAAATGACCTGTTCTCTGAGGTAGGACCTCTGTGATTTATCTTCCTCTTCTGGGTCATCAGTCTTCTCAGGAGATTCTTTGGGTTCCTCTGCTGCTGTGACTGGCACTGGATCCTCCTTTTTTGTGATTGCCTCCTCAACGTCAACGCTGCTTTCCTCTATCTTTTCTTCCTCATTTTTCTCTTCCCTTTCCTTCCAAGAGTTGGTTTCTGAAGAAACATCATTTTGGGAGGACTCTTGTTCACCATTTCTACCACTTGGCTCGTCCTCTGTGGTAGCGGTGACAGTTTCATCCGTGATGGTGGGATCAGGTTCCTTCTGTCTATCCAAAGCTTCCTTCATCCTTTTCTGTCTCCGCTCTTCTCTTTTGGCAATCCTCTCTAAGAGAGCCTGATCATCATCTTCCTCAGCTGGTGCCGAACTAGTGATCAAGGAGGACGTCTCTGTACTGAAAAGAACAACATTATCAGTATAGTCAAGTATTTATGTTATGAAAAGATTTGGCATTTTGTTTCAGGCTTTGGTTAAGTTTAGTATTGGTTGTTTTTTTTGTTTGTTTTTACACTTTTTTTAGTTTGAAGGGTTAGTTCACCCAAAAATGAAAATTCTGTCATTAATTACTCACCCTCATGTCGTTCCAAAACCGTAAGACCTTTGTACATCTTCGGAACACAAATTAAGATATTTTTGATGAAATTCGAGAGCTTTCTGACCCTCCATAGACAGCAATGCAACTGATATGTTCAAGGCCCAGAAAGGTAGTAAGGACATCGTTAAAATAGTCCATGTGACATCAGTGGTTCAACTGTGATCATATGAAGCTACAAGAATACATTTTGTGTGCAAAGAAAACAAAAATAATGACTTTATTCAACAATTATTTTTGACACAGGATATAGATGACCCAAATGTGCTGCAGTTCTGTTTTCTTTGCACAAAAAAAAGAATTCTTGTAGCTTCATAAAATTACGGTTGAACCACTGATGTCACATGGACTATTTTGACGATGTCTTTACTACCTTTCTGGGCCTTGAATGTATCAGTTGCGTTGCTGTCTATGCAGGGTCAGAAAGCTCTCGGATTTCTTAGTTTGTGTTCTGAAGATGAACAAAGGTCTTACGGGTTTTAATTTCAGCATTTAAAAAAAAAAAACATTTAATTTAAATCAGAATTTTAGTAAAGAACCGTTTTGTTTGTAAAGAAACCTTACAAACAAATTATTGTAAAGTTTTGTAAATAAATTCATATGTAGGCAGTTTATATTTGTTGACAAATCTAATTTCAAGCATTTATACATAAAACTTTAGATCAAATGCTTATCGTTTTAAAGATCGTTAATAAGACAGCTTTGTTTTGTGCAAAATGCATGAGAAAACTGTTTTTGGATGGATCTACGTGTTAGTTTCTGTTGTAGTGTTATTCGACTCCTCATTCTCCATATTGCGCAGGCGTTCCTGACGGGCTCGTCTCCGGCGCTCCCGGGCCGCTTCCTCATCATCATCGTGAGAGTTCATCCTGTAGATGCGGTGGGACACAGACATGTACAGTAAGTAAAGACTCTCATTCTTCAGTATGAACGCAGACAGACAATACTGACAGATATATGAATGCTTCTTGGCTCAGTGCTGAAAGAGTGTGTGAGAAACACACTTCATAAACTTTACATCACCCCGAAGAGTCAATAATGATTATATGAGCAAATGTGAGCTTGAAAATTAACCTACACAGAGTCTCCTAAAAACATAAACAGATTTTTAGAAATTCCTCATATGTGCATACATTTATGCACAAAATGTTCATATCTAGTCAACATTTATTTTTCTATTATTTATATTTAAATTCATTCAATTATGAATACAATTGCAATTATAATATAAATGATTTGATATACCTATTTAAATTAAACTTTGGTCGTGCTGAGAGTGGTTGTTCATTACAATATACAAAAGATATTCTTACAGAACATTACAGTGGTGCTATGGTACAATAATGGTATTAAACGGAAATATCATTCTACTAAATGTTTTCTATAATATATAATATAATTTAAATGGTATAACCTTGGTATAAACATAGCAATACAATTCCAATACCAATACTTTTCTGTTGACTCAATTAGACCTTTAGATTCATATAAACAGTTTCTTGTGTTTATTTATGCTTGGTTTGCCAGCTTGCTTAAGATACTGGTCAGACCCAAAAACCTCAACTGTAATGAAATCTTTGAGGCATGGGAGTATACAGAGAGAGATCTGGACTGCAATCTGAGGGGAAAGCTTTGTTAGCATCCTAGCGTCATGGTAAATTAGCAAGATTGTAAACTTATGTGCCAAATGTACTGTTTTCCCTCAGAGTTGCCTCATTGTTGGGCTCAGATGTTCTCAAATTCTCCGTCTTGCCGTTGTAGTTGAGCGAGTCCGACCTGGCTTGAGTTTGCCATGGCATGTTGGTGTTTATAAGGCAGTGAGAGCTCTTGAAATGGCCAATTGATGGAGGATGGGTTTTATTTTTTCCCCTTCTCCTCTTCACTTCCCTTCACAATCATTTGCAGATGTTGTAGATGGTAGAGAGAAACCCATAACAGGGACCGCAATTCTGTTTCTCCATCCCGAGACCAACAGCGGAAATCCGAAACAATCCGTTCCTCTCAGGGAGTTCCATATGAAAAAGGTCATCCAAAAAGACAGTCAGATGGAGTATCTGCGATTTTCCTGGAAGAATGCAGTCTGTCTTCTGTAAGAAGTGTTGCTGGATTAATACAATAGCTTTCAGACCTCCAGTGCGGCAGATGAAATGCAAGGAGAGATGGAGGGAGAAAGCTCACACTCCTGACAGATACTGAAACATTATGGCTGAATCTTGGAAAAAAAGCAGCAGTCAAAACATTCCAAAGTCTGTGGAGTTTCCTTAACCTGCTGCAGAGAGACTACATGAGAGGCCAGATTCCCATTGTATTGAAAACCAGGGCTGCGTTGCGTTTCTCAATAGCATTGTAAACCTGAGGGGATCGTAGAGACTGCTGGTGCCAATGGGTTCTACAATCTACTTAGGTTTACAATGCTATTGGGAAGCATTAGGTAGTCAAAAATACATAGCTGTGCTAGTTTCATGTATTTCATATCACTCTGTGGTCTCTTTCTTTTCACGTAATGAAATAATTTCAGCTTAAATTATTATTTATTTTCTATTTAGTTATAATGTACAGCCAGTCTGTCATTTTAGGTGAATAGATGATTATGTATAATATACTGTAAAAAAAAACAACTAAAAAAACATATTTTAAAGATAAATGAATGAAAATTAATAAAATAAACATAAAAATGAAAACATCAAAAATCAAAATTACAACATCAAAAATAAAATTTTAATGTGCCATATTATTTATAATTGAATATATGTCGATATTTAACTCTTTTTAAAAAAATAAAATAGCAACAAAATTTATGGTGAAAATCTATTACATTCAACAAGACATTGCATGTACTTATACAATAAAGTATTTTTATTATACAAGTACATGCGTTTAATATTTCATGTCCATTTATTATAATATACAGTTAGTCTGTCATGATAACAAAATAAATTCGTTCAGGGCGATAAAAGACTGCTGCTTCTATGTTGTTATTATGTTATAATTACAGGACATCATCCACTTACATATTTCCTTTTTTTTCAGTGAACAGATGATTATGTATAATATACTGAAAAAAAAATCATAATTTTAAAGATAAAGAATGTAAAAATAAACATTAAAAATGAAAACATCAAAAACAAAAATGAAAACATTAAAAATTTAATTTTAATGTGCCATATTGTAATATAAATTTGTCAACATTTGTTTAAAATAGGCTATTTTTTAAATATACATTGCAATAACATTTATGGTGAAAATCTATATTACCCTCAACAAGACAATGCATGTACTTATACAATAAAGTATTTTTACAATTTTTAAGTACAAAATACAATTAGTGTCATTTTGTAATGCACTATGAAAGAAAACAGTACAAGAATGTTGCCAGTGGTCCTTGCATTGCTATAGAAAGGCCTTAAATTCATCATGTGACCTTCACTCTCTTGCATCCTCTAAAATGCATCAGTTAAAGCCTAAATGATTGGTAAAGTGTTATGTCAATCAAAGAACTGATGTAATATTGAGAAATCCTTGAATGAAGACTGAATCCCTATAATTCACATGCTGATTAAATAAATTAGAAGCCACATAATTTCTTTGACAATATAGTTGATAATTGAAAATAAAATATTGGACAGAATTATGATGGCATCGTTTAGAAGTGGTAATATGCTGAAACTATTGAATAAGCAAATGCATTTCGAAAAGATGCTGATGCATCTGGTGAGCTGTTTAATCAAGCATAAGAGATTTATGGCCGATGCCATGTTCACTTCCTTTGACATAAATATACAGGTTCTCTCCGTTGCTATTTTGAACTGGAAACCATGACAGGCAGCTGGGATTTGGGGGAGTTCAGATTCTTTAGCATCAATAATTTTCATAGAGAATATTTCTTTTCCAGATATGATTCCAATAAAGTTTGTTTTCTCCACTACAAAGCCAATGGATGTGGTAGAAATGCCTTGAGGTTTCTTTCTTGAGACTCATCCATCTCAATAAAGTTTCTCTCTCGGTCATTCCAGCACATATGCACTGAAGTTTCTGAGACCAGACTGAAATATGACATTGTGCAGCAGAAGTGAAGGATTGTGAAGAAGATAAATATATTCCCCACACTCAGAGTTTAACATGCACACAATGGGAGTAAGTGTCAGAATACATCATTTCTCCAGATATAAGTTATTATGTAAGGCGTGGTGGATTTGGCTTGAGTATTTGCTGGACTTGAAAGTGATTTTTATCAAAGGTTTGATTTCCTTTTCTGCTTTGATTGTTGCCACAATGAAGCTTAAAAGCGGCTGATGCAGAGAGAGCATTTTTTATTCAAGAGATGCAGAGCAGAGCGTGTACAGAGCAGGGGACGCGAAGAACAGGATTAAGAACCGCTGCTTTAGAACATTGATTTTTAAACTTGTAAATTTATTAGAATCACTAGAAGACAGAATTGCGATTCATATGAATAGATGTTTTCGTGCACCCCTAGTTTTGACGGCGTGGAAACAACGCTTCCTCTTCTCTAAAGCAGTGCAACATGGCCTCGCCCCTTTTGCTGCATGTTCCCAGAGGCAGGGTTTATGTACATTTCTGGGTTCGTGACGTAACGAATCTGGGAAGTAGCTCGTTGTAGTCCCTACGGCCTCGCCCCCTTTGCTGCCTTTTCCCGAGGGCGGGGTTTATCTGTGTTTGTGATGTCACGAACCCGGGAAGTAACTCGTAGTCCCTACCAGCCGTTTTTGTAGGCATTAAACTGCCAGAATTTTAAAAGACGATATCTCCGTTTGCATTGACCTTTCAGCTTCGTAACTTTGCAGATATTGTTTATGCTCAAACAGAAACATTACACACTAACTAACGTTAAAAAAGTGAAATCGCAATCAACCACCCCTTTAAAATGTACTTGCCAAGATTCTAAGAAATTTTCTCTTTATATTCTATGGTTTTATATCATTTTTAGAAATGTTTTTAAATATATTTTTCTAGGTTAAAAGTATTTTTTAAAACATAAAAATATTAATTCATAAATATCATGAGGGAGTGTGTGGGGAGTTGACACCACACAACATTTTACAACCTAAACTAACCTTGCCTTGTCATAATAATAAATCAAATTGTCATAAAAAAAATCTGTCATAAAAAGCAGTAAAATATTCTGATGTTAAAAAAGGTCAAATCAAGTATCATTGAAATACTATTATAGTTTTTATTAATATTTAAAATTTTAAATTAAAAGTTTAAATTTTTATATTTTCTGTTATTTTCATTTATTTAAAGTTTTAGTAATGTTGTTGTTTTTGTCATTTTTTGTAGTTTTTGTTTTTTGAATTATGTCTATAAAGTTTTTATTTAATTTTGATTTCAGGTTTAGTTTTTGTTATTTTAGTACATGAAGTTAAACTAAATGAAAATGAAAAATGTTGCTTTGGCAACTAGCTGTCACGGTCCGCTACTGTGAGGAGCACGGAGCGAGGAGACGTGGAGTAAACTTCCAACAAACAGACTTTAATGAACATCAAGGGAACCAGGAACACACACGTAGCGGGGAGAAAAACACACACAAACAGTTCATGGGCGTGACATATCGCCCCCTTCCCGGAAGGCGCGTCCTCGCGCCGCAGGAACAACATAGGAAGGGACGGAGGGAACTTGGGAGGAGGCTCGGGAGGAGGACGGACACCCGGGAGGAGGACGATGAACGGAGTCCAGGGTGGTACTGCAGGAAGAAGGAGCAAGGGAGGAGACAGGAAGGGCTTGGAGCTGGAACAGGAGGAGCCGGGCGGGACCCAGACCACAGCCATGAAGGCGACCCACAGTGGAGCCGACCGAGGGAGGAGCCATGGAGGAGGAAGGGCCGACGACTCCAGGGGGCCGACCGACGGCGGCGGAGGAGCCCGAGGCAGAGACGGAGAGCCGATGAGCCAGGGCGACGGGGAAGATCTGGAGGGCCAAGGCGGAGCAAATGGCGCCGGCGACTGACACGGAGGCTGGGATCCGAAAGGCCGCGGTGAAGCCAGAGTGACAGAGGACTGAGGAGGAGCCGAAGGGATGAAGGAGCCTGACGGAGCCGGAGGGACAAAGGGACGAGGTGCAGCCGGAGGAGTGGAGTCCTGAGGCGCAGGATGGTCGACGCCAGACCAAGGCGGAGCCGGAGGGACGAGGGAGCCTGGCGGAGCTAGTGGACTGCCGGGCCACAGCGGGAGAGGAGGGAGCTAAGAGCCATGGTGGAGCTGATGAGTTAACGGGCCAGGGCTTAGAAGTTGGAGGTGGAGTCAAGGGATACTCCAGCCACGGAGACATGGAAACAGGAACTTTTTCTGGGCTTGACATGAGAACAAGAACTTTCTCGGGGCTAAACTCGGGGACTGGAACCCTCTCTCTGCTGGACTGGGAAACGGGAGCCCACTCAGGGCTGGACGGGACCAGCTGGGACGAAGGAGAGAGGAGAGGGGGCATGTCAGCTTACAGTTCTGTTTCCCAGTCTATAAGATCCCCCTCTAAGTCCAGCAGTCCCAGATGTATAATCAGCTCACCCTCAGCTGCGGTGCAGTGGGCGGAGCTCCACTCTCCGGCTCCGCGGCGATCCGTTGCTCTGTCGCTCCATGCGGCATCGGCTCGTCGGCCGCGGCGAGCTCGGCTCTCCGTCAGCGGTGGGTAGCCCGTCGGGCAGCGGGACGATGGTGGGCTGGGCACTGGGTCAGGAGTGGATCTGGCGAGATCATTCACGGGGCAGATGGTGAATGGCCATCCATTTCTCGCCAGAATCCACTCCAAGAAGGCGGCGAAATCCGCTCGGGGACCATCCTCGGACGACGGCGCTCTGCACGCGGTGTTCAGGCTGGCGTCATAGAATGCGCAGAGCGCGTCGTCCGGATAGCTGGTGAGTTCGGTGAGGCCCTCGAGCGATCTTTCCTCCTGCTCCAGCAGGAGGATGAGGTATTCAGGGTGGGCGAGAGGATCCATGGGCACAACGGAAACAAAAACTGCTGGGTAAAAACAGAAACAAAAACGGAGGGAACACACAGAGGTAACTGTTTATGGTCTGGTATTCTGTCATGGTCCGCTACTGTGAGGAGCATGGAGCGAGGAGACGTGGAGTAAACTTCCAACAAACAGACTTTAATGAACATCAAGGGAACCAGGAACACACACGTAGCGGGGAGTAAAACACACACAAACAGTCCACGGGCGTGACACTAGCTGAAATAAAGTAAAGTTTATATATATATATATATATATATATATATATATATATAATTTCAGTTAAAATTTATGAAATAGATTTTTTAATATTAAAAGATTATTCCAAACGAATTATTAAGAATTTAATAATAATATATAATATGTTAATGAATTTTTTTTTAAATTTTTTTTATTTAGGACTGCTGTATCACTTAGTCTATATGACATTTGGACTGGACCTGGACAAAATAAATAAATCTTAAGTAAGAAATTAAAAACATGCTCATCAAGAAGAAGTGGCAGAATTTCTTAATGAAGTGTATTTTATATTTTTTTTTATAAATTAATAGAAAGTGTTATCCTTCTTTTCTGAATTTTCATCACAAAGACTATTGTATAAAACTACAAATATCCCTGAGAATAAACACTGTAATCTTCTAGACTCTAAATATTGCAACTGCAAAGACAGAAAACCATGGAAAGTGTGAGGCTGATAGTGTATGTAATCATTAGAGTATCTAACAACCAAAAAAACTGGAATGATGCAGATCTAACATTCGTAGCTTTTCCAAGTACACTATACCGTCCACAAATACACAAACAATACAAAACTTATCATGTGCATTCCAGCCTACGTGAAAATGTGATCATATGTGCTGACAGTCACCATTATGTGCATTCATCTGTTCTCATTCCCTCACAAAGAGCAGTAAAGCATCTGTCATCTCCAGTAGTACACATCTGCGGATCAGTCCTTAAATGGAGCGCTGGACAGTGGGAGTTATAAAAAGATGGAGAAACTGCAGCTCTTGGTCTATGAGTGGGCCAAGTCATCCTGAAATATAAACACTCTGAACAAACCTGACCTGCCAAACCCACACTGCACATTACCCATGCTAATACACAGTTTTTATGTGTTTTAATTAATATGAAGAGAATAAAGTTTTGCAAGCCTTTTACCATGACCATTTTAAATGTCCATATTTTTCATATTACACAAGAATGTTAATGTTCGCTGCTGGGTAGCACTTGAAGCAGTTCTTGAAAAAAAGACAGATTTCCACAGAAGGCTTGCGTCAAAACAGAAACACATGAATAAATCTAATCTGGTTTAAACAAACCCAGTGTAAACACAGAATAATTTACATTTACTGTTTACAAAAGACCAATAATGCAATGGCATGCTATTCCTCTTTTGTTTATAATGACACTAAACATTTCTCCTTTAGTTAGCTCTATTGGGTCCACATACTACATTTTACAAATTATGTTATATTATTATAATTTTTTTTTTTGCAGTATCCATTATTCTTAATGTTGATCCTCATTTGAAATTTACTATAACAAAAATTTTTTTTTTAATTGATATCAGCATAATTTAGACAGTACAACAAACTACCATGATTTAAAAATTATTTATGTATAATTTAAATATTATATTACAGTAATATAATAATAAGATAATAATAATAATAATAATTTTGCATTAAAATAATGATAATTGCAGAAAAAAATGCTTCATTTTCTTAAATATAATTTCAAATTTTTTTATTTAGGTTTTACAGCAGTGTGATTGTAGTTGACTAAAACTAAAATGGAAACAAAAATTAAAACTATTAGAAAATATTGATTAAAAATAATTCACTTTGAAATAAACATTTACTGAAATAAAATAAAATATATAAAAGAAATTTCAGGTAGTTACCTAGGCCAGGGGTTTTCGAGCATCAGTTAATTCAGAGACGTTCCCTTGAGAATTTATGAATATGAGTTAACAAATCTTTAGCCATCCACTAGGGGGCAATCTGACTCCCACTGCTAGTCGACAGTTAGAGCAGAGTTGGCTCGAGTATAAGTCACGCTCAGTGTTGCCAAGTCCGCGATTTTCCCGCGGAATTGGGCTACTTTAACACTTGCCGCGTTTTGTAGTTTTGGGCTAGTTTTGAGTAGCAATTAGGCGGGTTTTCTTGTGAAAACCTGGCAACCCTGGTCACGCTTATTGACAGTGTAAGATGATTTACGATTAGCCGTGTCGGAAATCCAACCACGGATTGGCATGTTGTTATCTCAGAAACAGGCTCAGCCATCACATTGAATCAGGTAAACTGGTTATATATTTATGTTTCAGTATAATTACGCACGCTATACCAGGGGCGGTTCTAAACCCTTTTTAGGTGGGTTTCAGCCCCCCTATCTGTCACCTTAGCCCCCCAAAACTATCTTAACGATCAGGCCAGTGCTGCTTCCTCGAGAAAGTTTTTCATTCTCACGTGTTTTAAGTCTTGTCAGTTTAAACATTAAAGTAATTTTAAGCCATTTAAGCCCAAGACATCTCAATGCGGTACTCACGCACTGTGATAGAGCGTTTCTATGCGCACCACTCACACACCTGAAGTGCACAAACAGATAGCCTTCTCAGACAGCAGGTGAATACCAATGGCTGTCTTGAGGGGGGGGGGGCGCATGTCCTAAAAGGTTGAAAACCCCTGACCTAGGCAACCTTTCTAAATTTTTATTTAGTTTAACTTTATATACTAAAATAACTAAAACTGAAATAGACAATTATTAAAATAAAACAAAATGAAAAACAGAACATATAAAAATTGATTCAAAATATTAATTAACATTATAAGAGTATTTAATTGATACTAAAATAACACCCTATTGCACTGAGATTTCAAGGTTTGAACATTAAACTAAATTCAACTAAACCTAAATTATGCACATCCCATCTGCCAGTCTAACTATTCCTTGTCTGAAAGAAACTAAAATATATATCCAATGTGCATCTGTCTAAAATCAGATATTATCTGGATTTACTCTACCAAACCGTCAACTGTAACAAAGCACTGTAAATGTAGGAAGACATTTACGAGCATGTCACCCTTTATAAGGAATAGAGAGGCGAGCAGAGGCACGGTTGTTTGGATGACGCAGACACAGGCCTCTCCAACTTGGCCAGACTATTACAGACAGCACTCCGGTGGCTTAAAATAGTATTAAACTCATCATCGGGATGACAGTGATCTGAATGTTATTGCATCATCTAAAATGATGAATCCCATTTGATAATGGAAGCAATTGAGAGCAAATTAAACATTTAAAAAAAAGAGGTAAATAATGTGTGTAAATTAATGTGTTTGTGACTTACTTCTCTGCCTCCCGCTGCATCTCTTCTCGCTTTTGTCTCCGTAACTCTCTGCGACGCTCAAAATCAAAGTCCTCATCCATGATTCGCACAGAGCTCTTGGGGTGCAAGCTGAAAGAGAGAAAGACAGTCAGACAGGGTGGGATTTATAAAGATTTGAACTGTCCTGATCGCTTTAATTCAAAGTCAAGACGCTCCATGTCAGCTGTTTGACTTATAACTTACCAGGACCACAACATTCCAGTTTCTTGATCCATTTCCCTGGAACAACTACCAGGAAAGGCAAACTATGCCACACATTTAACTTCACCACTGATCTTCTCTCTTCATGGACATATTATTTTAAGTTTCAATATCCTCCTTAACTCTCGGCTCTTGCCATAGGCCTACAATGTTTGTATAATGTATAATTTTAAGAATTTATATAATGTATAAGCTATCTAAGTATAGCATTTCCTGGTCTTCTGTCATGTTTGAGAGAATATCATTCAAATAAATCATGCTTTTGTGTTTTCTGATTGTATGCCCAACACCAAACAGAGTTAAGGAAGTGGCAAATTTCAGTTAACCAGTGCATGTTTGCTTACATTCTCTGAAATAATGAATAATGGTTAAAGGATGTCATAAAACAACAATCCGCCAAGACCCAAGTGCCTTCACCAATATAAAGGTGCAAAAATCATCTAATTCCTGGAATTAAATATATCATAACTTGATAATTTTGTGTTTTATCACTAATACAAAAAAAAGATGGTTTCCCCAAATACACTTCTCATCTGTCATTGGTCAGAATCTTATGAAGCCATTGGTTGAACCGGTGTTGCTATGTCGAAAACGCCACAGTGTTTTAGGCGGGAATCATTAACCTACAAATTGGCAATGCTTCCTTTAGTTAACTCTATAATAATGAACTGAGATTGAAGAAAGTAGTTTAAAATATTTAACAGAACATAGCAAAGAATGTGTCCCTGAAATATTCGTCTTACAGTCCTGACTACTATTGATGCAGTCAGTTCTGTGCTACATCATCATCATCTGTGGAGGTATGACGAATTCGTGAAGAAGCAGTAATGATGACCTACCGCTTTTCCTGAAAACATGCCCGGCTTTGTGATTTTGGAAAAATGTCTGTCGAGCTGTAGGTCACCATGGCAAATTCTGGCAGGTGCAAAGCAGCCATGTGTCAGCTAAGCAGACGTCCTTATAAAGGTTAGTTTATTTGGTACTGCTATCGTCTGTCATTGCTACTTGAGTGCCTCTTATTTAATAAAAACTTTTTGGAATGACTGCTATTTAGTGTTCCAAACTGCGACTAAAATGGTTAGGAATGCGACAACAGTTAAAATTGTGCGACAGTTTTGTGACGTGTGAGTGTCCTCTGGCGGTTTCATTGGATTTCATAACGCTAAAGAGCGCTGCAACGTTTTCTGTCTGAACGCGACAACGATCGCAAACATGATTCGCAAAAATGACTATTTTGAACCGGTTCCTTTTTAATGACTTCAAATTCACGAAACGCCCGCGTGATTGATTAGCGGTTTGAATCGTTATGATGAACTGTGATGAATGGTTCCTGAGACAAAAATTAAAATGAAACATTTACGAGCCAAACAACGTTTTTAGTTTTTGTTTTAAGTAGTGACATTTAAAAATAAAATGAAGAAATACATTTTAATTTACAATTTAATAATTCATTCAAACAAAAAATGGAAATCTATCACATTTTAAATGGACGCATTAAAAGCCATGTTTATAAACGTTTATAATTCATGTTGGTTAAATAAAATAATAAATGAAATCATTTAAATTTGCATTTTTGAGGGTGAAAAAAAAACATTTGCAAGATTATTTTCTTTGTCGTTTGGTCAAATACTTTTCTTTCGTTCACCCAAAAATGTTGTCGTCATTTACTTACCCTCAGTTGTAATATTTTTTCTATACAATGGCAGTCAATGGATAGAAGAAAGAAAGAAATTGGAACAACTTAAGGGTGAGTAAATGAACTTTACCTTCAAAAAGTGTCTTTGGACAGTTCAAAGTCGATATAAGATGGACTGTTATTGGAGAGTATATAGCCTGCAGTTTTAAATATGTCCGTTTATTTTTTTAATAAGTCTAAAATTATTTATGAATTTATTTTGTTATTATTTTATTGAACCACATTTTATAACATTGATTTAAATGTATAACTTCTTGCTTCATTTTATTTTTAATCATCAGTCCTAGTCCTCCACAGCACTTAAGCCTTTGAATTTTAATACAGTAGGGTTCTGAGAGCACTTTAACATCTGTGACAGAGAACTTGGTTGGATAATTCTGGTAAGGATTTTACAGTCCGTCTCTCTGCAAGACACCAGCCTCCATTTTATATTATAATACCTTTGCATCGATATGGGAACAATTAGGTTGGTGGTGTCACAAAGCCTGTTCTGTGTTCTAATCTCCATATCACATGTGTGGAGCGCTGGGCCAGACAGAAAGCGCCCAGCAGGCTAGAGGTGAGTGGACTCGTTGGACGGCTGCTTCCACTGGAGCTGCAGGCGTGTTTGGTTTGGCTCTCCTCCAGAGGCAGAGGAACAAGGCTCATGCACCAGTCTAAAGAGTCTCCATATGTGCATAAACTGAAAAAGTCCTGTAATGGTGACCTCATGTGAGGGCTTTCTGGGTGACAGACGCATAAGGCTTTCCTGAACCCTTTTAACCTCTGCCTACAACCTGTCACATCTGTCAGCAGAAGGCTGATGTGCTTTGACCACTGGGTTAATGTATTGCAACCACACATAAGACAATATGTATGCAATTTCCTACATTTGCATTAGGTTTGATGTGAGAAAGTGTAGGTGACCCCAGTGGAAAACTAGTGAATTGATCAGATTTCAGTGGAGCACTTTTCACTCCATTCATCGAATCAGTTTTTAACACTTTTGCCAGTTTTACAAATGAAATTTGTGCGATTGCCTGCACTTGTTTTGTATAGGAACCCGCGGACAAGCATCAGTCCTGTTTTACTAACAGTGGTAGAACAGGCATTTAGTTAAAAAATTAAATTATCAAAATGTTATGCATGAGTTAAGTCCATAATCTTTTATATATTAAAAAAATCTTTCATTAAATGTTGTCTGAAGACAATTTTAATAGTAACTGTTCTTACTGAATACGAGAATTTTAAAAACAATTTAAATGACAAGCATAGCAATTTGAGAGAAAATGATGAAGGCTATATAAATGTACATAACTTTTTAATGTTAGATTTCTTTAAATACATTGCTGATGATTTCATTTAATTTGTTAAAATGTTTTAAGATTAAATTTACTTTTCTTTGTTTTACATTCCTAAAACTCCTTTATTTAGACTACTTTTTTCCGTTTTAATGATGAAATTGCAGATTGTCATTATGGTCTGAAACGTTTATACCCCATTGCACGTGTCTGTAGCACTCTAGCAGAATACTAATATATTTCCGTTTGTTAGGACAAAACATGAGGACTTGATAAAAGAAATCAACAACTTCAGGAACAAATGGAGACACTGACGAATTCAGGAATTTCCTCAATGCAAAATAGCTGTTAAAATAGAGGCTAATAAAACCAGACTGAGTGATCTGAAGAATTCAAAGGCATTTTCTTTTTCTGTTCCCATTTCACTTGCTCATTACAGAACGCTTTTGGGTACAGTGGGCATGTTATACATTTCCCAGACTCCCTTTCGCTGTCCAGTCTTCCTACCACAAGTTATCGTCGAGTCCACAAATCATTTCCACATGACGGAGACGGAGAACATATTCTAATTTATACATCTGTGACTGATTCCAGGTCCTGGGCAATTTGCCCTTTTCATGGTATTCATTTTTTACGCAGAGAGTTTGAACGCACTACAGTAGACTCCACTAGTATGACCAACATAATGCTTTTGCACTAAAGTATACAGATGGAAAAAATCTCATTAGAACTTTTACAGTACAGACTGACAGATCATGTCCAAATCTGTTAAAAAGATTTATATAACGTATCTTAAGCCCGTAATGGAATTTCTGTGTGTCAGGAAGTCAGCATTTTAGAGCTGTTGCTACCACCCAGGTAAGACTGGGTGAAGCCGTTTACAATGACATAACGAGCTGTCTCGTGGGTTTTCAATAAAGCTTTATTATGTGCGGACAGGACAAACGTGTGGAGCCAGAATACACATCAGGGCGGATCTACGTCCAAGCCAAAACCAACGAGAGCTGTGCAAGATGCTGAAATGATTTTCTAGTCACTGATAAAGTACCTGCTTTCCATTTGATTTATTCACTTATTCAGACCTTTAGACACAGTGCATGAGAAAGGAGTATTACATTAGGTAGCTATGCTATAGTTTCATCTCTCTTGCATCACTCTGTGGTCTCTTTCTCGTGATATAACGAAATAAATTCACGTTTAACATTTTATGGTCATTATTTTATTTATTTGCTCACAGTCACAAGATATAACAACTTAAAGGGATAGTTCACCCAAAAATGAAAATTCTGTCATTAATTAGTCACCCTCATGGCGTTCCAAAGCCGTAAGACCTTCGTTCATCTGAACACAAAAAGGATATTTTTGATTAAATCCGAGAGCTTTCTGACCCTGCATAGACAGCAACGCATCTACCACGATCAAGACCCAGAAAGGTAGTAAGGACATCATTAAAATAGTCCATGTGGCATCAGTGGTTCACCCATAATTTTATAAAGCTACGAGAATACTTTTTGTGCGCAAAGAAAACAAAAAGAATAACTTTATTCAACAATTTCTTCTCTTCCGTGTCAGTCTTTGACACACATTCACGAGAGTTTCATCAAAAATATCTTAATTTGTGTTCCGAAGATGAACGAAGGTCTTGCGGGTTTGAATCAACATGAGGGTAAGTAATTAATGACAGAATTTTCAGAATTTTGACAGAAGTTTTAGAATTTTGGGTGAACTATCCATTTAACAAAAATTATGATTTTTTTTATACTTTTAGGGATCTTCTTCCACCCTTGTTGCTGGTCAAAAATGACCAGCCTACAAAATTTTTTTACTTGTTATGCTATATTATTACTAAATATTGGATTGTTTTCTTTCGATTAGAACAGGTTTTTTTTTTT